TAATTTGACCTTTCTTATTATTCTTGACATTTTGAATAACTTGCATGTGTGTTGGACTTAAAATCTGTGAACTTGCAAGTGTATGTATAAATAATTAAGCCTAAGGTCTTAGGAGATTCTATTTCTTTAAATTCATATGTTTTTTGGTTTTGTTGACTGATCTCTAAACCTTCTAATAAGAACGGTTCGTTTGCCGTCCATTTTCTCAGATTAAATCTTGCTGACTGAAGCAATTTTTTTAAATCATCTCTTAATTTTAAAACTGAATTCATTTCGTGGTGACCGCCGCAAAAATCATCCATATAAATATTATTTTCTTAAGCTTCGATTACAGTTGGGAAATTTTCTTTTTCATTTGACGCTGACTGTTTTAAATACATCATAGCTAAAAGGGAGCTGGTTTTGTCCCGTTTGTAACAGTGGTTAACTGGTATGTTGAAATAGCTTGATTTGGAGATTTAGACTGTGTCCAGTAGTTGATTTAAAAGAAGCGTTAAAAACTACTCTTTCCTTAATTGTGGTTGATTGTTCTCGGGTAACTGCGTGATGAGGTAAATAACTCTCGGGTGTCGTTAAATGAATCTTGTGTGCGTCTCGAAGCTTCTAAATTCGTAAACTGCATTTTTTGTGCTTATAGATGGAATTTTATGAATTAAATAAATCTTTAAAAGAAATCCAATGGTGATAGTTTCTGCTATACATCGGAATATCCATTTGCGGTGTCAACTTTTCCCTATGCGAAACAGACCACATCTTGGTGTTAATGGTCTCCTTCAAATCGTTGAATATTTTTTCGTGTCTGTTGAATTGCGCTTTATAGATGCCTTCATAGCCTTCGGCTTCACCTTCTATCTCCCAATGAAAATTATCGACGGTACTCCAGAAAAAGTTTAAAGCGATCTGAGAACATCTTCGAACTCCCACCGATTTTCTAATCTTTCTATATCTATAGAACTTACTGTACGCATAAATGCTTTAAAATTAATGGTTTGCTTCTTAATAATTTCGTTTAACTTAGTTTTTTTGTTAGACATATCAATATGCTGTGGTTAACGGCTGTCCGAGATCGCTAACGATTCAGCACTCATTGACGGTCCTGGTTGATATAGAACCTCTCCTTCCGGTTGTCGAGGAGTAACGTCTTACTGCACCAGCTCAGTCCGTCTACTAAACTGCTCCTTTGAAATTATTTGTTCGAAAATATTTTTAATGAGATCTTTTATAGTTAAATAGAGTTCAAATTTCGCTAGTTCATTATTGCCAATAATTTTCAAGTAATTCAAGCTTGCGCTTACAATATTCCTTAGTTTTCCTATCCGCTCCATCTTTCTTAATATTGGTTACAAATCTTTTCTGAGTTTCGTATATCTCCGTTTGGTTAAAAAAAATGACTCCTTGATTCAAATTATTGTCACTATTCACTATAGTCACTGGTTGGTTTAGTAGGTCCTCGGCTCAACAAATCAGAAATTGTGAAGTTTATCGCGAACCGAAGTCCATTCTTCTCGAAGGACCATGAAAAAGTTTATTTTCACTCGGAGGTTAGTAGTAAATCTCCTTTTGCGTTAGATATAAATAAGAAGTCGAAATGTCTATAAAATCGTATAATAATGACTAGAAATAAAACGTAATAAATGGTAAAGTTAACTATTATTATTATCGCTAAAAGTTTGTTAAATTTATTATTTTACGTAAATGGTATTTATGGTTATCGAGCACTTTTTTAGTAGCGTTGTTTAGTAGCGTTATTGAGTAGCGTTTTTCGTAATGAATTAATATATTAATAATCTTTTTCTGTTGTTCATTTAGAATCAAAGAAGAGTAGTGTTTAGAACCGCAGGCGTTTTCAAGTTTGACAAGCGGTGGTACCCCCACAACTAGATTAAAAACCACCGGGCGCGGCGAGGGCATTACGCTTACAACTGTGCACGCAACCACGTCTTTAAAATTTATAAAAAAATTCTAATAAGAAAAGTAAACTTATAAACTATCAGAACAATTTTTCATTAAAAATACCAAAAAACGGCGTAATCAAGCAGGGAATTAGTCTATGTTAGATTTTGGGATAATACCAAAGCATATAGATTGATAGACCCCAAGTCATGGTGGAGATATAGACAGGTAATCTTGGACCGGTTTAGTTTTTACTGCTCGAGGAGGAGCTATTTGCTGGCAGAGCATCAAACAACGCTGTGTAAACTCTGCTAATAATATGCTGTGTACAGATTTCATATTTAATTTTGTATGCTAAAAATTAAATATAATCGATACATTGTCCGAATGCTAGTTATTTTTGTTTCATTTCGTGATTTTATTTCCATCTTCATGGTTCGATTCCCGGGTTGTGCTATAAATAATATTTGATAGCCTTGAAATTTAGACGATTTTAAATGGAACACTTAGTGTTTTAATATTCCTTGAACTATGGGTTCGATTCCCGTGTATTTTAATATAATAGTATTTGTATTTTCTTTAACTTACAGATTATTATCATAGTTACCGATTTCAATCAAATTTCACATGTACCCGTATTTTGGTTTGGATAGGATAGTTATCATCTCAATTATTCGCTTATGGCGTGAATGTAATCAAATAAAATGTTCTAATTAATTGTTTCTTAAGCAAATGTTTATTTACTGTTTAGTTTTATGAAGTTCTCATAGATGACGGTGTATGTTGATTCATAGATAAAATTCTTCAATATCGTTTGACATCTAGGTTGCAAACACACCCAATAGATGGCGCTGTGTTCTAGATGGCGTTTATTCTAAAGTAATCTGCAGTAACGTTTCTTTCAAAGAATTTTGCGTAGATTACGTTTTCGATTAAGATTTGTGTAAACTTCAGAACTGCTATTTTTTTCATCTTTATTGCAAATCCCATTGAATTGGATTAATATCTCTAAAGTTTCAAAGATAAAGTGCTGAAACATATTGGACATTCGTTGGTATTTTGTTGTACTATCTTTGAACTTAAACATCAAGTTCATTTCATCATCAGCTCAAAAAACAACAGCGTTTTTGGAAAATATGATGCCCAAAGTAACTATATCACGCGGACGAAGTCGCGGGCAAAAGCTAGTACTATGTAGATTTTGTAGACATGTAGTAATTTGTCTACAAAATCTTATACTGTGTCCCGGTACTAGACAGTCAAAACACAGTTGTTTCTCTTTGACGACATCTCTATCTTCTTCCGAATTTAATTTCTCAAACTCCTTGCAGTTATAGATATAATGATCTTTACAACAAAACGAACAAATGACTTCGGCATTCGTTTTGCAGGTTCTTATTGATTTATTGGTGTTTGTCGTAGATACGCCAACATTATTAAGTGCATTAAATGTCTCATTTGCAGTATCTAATAATGCGCGTAATCCCTTGGCTGATTCTAACATAAGCTTCTTCTGTCCAAGTAACCGTGTAACGTGTGCGTGTACTATAAGATTCTTGCTGTTGTATCTTGATTTCAAAACTTTGAATGTTTTCTCATAATTAGCTTCGGTTAATGGAAATTGCTTTAATAATAACTCTGCTTCTCCTTTCAAATTACTTTTCAAATAATGATACTTCTCTATATTGCTTAAATCCTCATTGTTATGAACCAAGGACTTGAATAGATCATAGAAACATGTCCAATCATTATAATTCACCGTAAAAATAAATTTCAATAGCTGGTAACTTAGCCCGCCCTTAATACTTTACTTTGAGGTGTTGTGACAGATACGTCTCCCATTTATACAAATATTAATGAGTTTGTAGAAACCGTAAAGTGAAGGTTGGATCCTACTGTGATGATGGAGACAACTGGCAAGGGAGACTTAAAGGATAATTGCCTCCCTCCGAGCTAGGTGTTGTTAGCCCGTGGACCGCGGTCCAACCGATCTAGGTTGGACGGTCTATTTATGCTAATTGGTAATTAATCTTAGTGTGGGCAATGTAAGTTTCTTTGTTCTAATTGCCTTGTAGTTATTAATTTATGATGTTTGTATTGGTATAGCGCCATCTCGTTATTGGGTGTTGAAACTTCTTGCAGTTCGTCTTGCTATCAATTGCTGTTACGATGCTAGTCTTCTCGTTATTGATTGTTGTGGCGATGTCAGTGCGAAATGAATTAAATGTCGCTACGTATATTCAGTCGCCACAAGTTGACAGACAAATCCTCTAACTGTTCTTTCATCAAATTTTTTAACTTTAGATAAACATTTTCACATAAATAATAAGAATCATCTTGAAATATGTTAAGATTTTCTTTTCATCAAGCGTTGCTGTTGCTACAATATTAAAATTACCTTTAAAATTGTGAAAATTTATTTCTAATAATTCTAATCTTGCTTCTTCTTTTTCTTTTATTAATGGGTTATCTCAAGTCAAGTGAATGAATAACTTTCTGCATATAAAATAAAAATGAAATGAATGAAATAGAAATGAAAATTCCAATGTCTGCTGATATAACTAATTTATTTGACATTTTACTTCAATGACAAATAAATTAGGTATATCAGCAGACATTGGAATTTTCATTACAAAAAAGGATAAAATATCTTGAATTTTTTATCTTTGCACACCTACAAATTCATAGTGTTTATGTTATTATTGTCTATTCGTTGTTTAAAGTTAACTTACAAAATTTTGTCGTCAGATAATAGTATTGAAAACTTTGTAAAAAGCTTCTGATATGTCGGAATTTCTTTTCGTTTTCATTGTTGTTTTCTTATTTTTAATGTGCATAATTAAATTTTATTATTTATGTATCCGACACGTTTCTTGCAGTCACAGACCAAAAAGAGTATTGGTTTTTTGGTCTGTGACTGCAATCAACGTCAGAGTCACAGACCAAGAAGGAGATATTGTATATGTCAATCAGAGTCGAGTAAAAGTTTTGTGCGGGTGATTATTTTTAATAATCTTGTTTATTAAGTAAATGCATACCTTCAAGATAGTATTTGAAAATTTATTCATACTACAATACACCGTTAACCATTCATGTGAGTAACGACAGTACTTTAAAAAAATATCTATTTTTTTATTAATATATCGCAGGAAGCAGTAGTTTTATTTTATTTCCTGTTTATTTTCAGGGTCAAACAACAAATAATGGTGTGAAGATTAATCACAAAGAAATCCACGTTTCTCGTCTCATCAACCAAAGCTACCGCCATGAAAAAAGTCGTATTATTCAAAAGTGTATCAGAAGAGTACGAAAAAGTTTTCACAGATAATAATTTTGAAGTGATATTTATTGAACCTCTGCAGTTCACATTTATAAATACGGAAGAGTTAAATAACAAATTAACACAAAACTATGATGGATTAATACTAACTAGTCCACGAGCTATAGAAGCAGTAGCAAACCTTTGGAACCCTTCTAAGTTTGTGTTGTGGAATACAAAAAAAGTTTACACAGTAGGAGAAGCGAGTCGACAAAACGTCGCTCTCCGACTGGGACTCGAAGCTCTGGGTTCGACATCCGGAAATGCTGAAAACTTGGCTAAAATTATTGCTGATAATAATTCAAAATGTTCAAAATTCTTATTTCCTTGTGGTAATAAAAAATCAGAAACACTTCCAAACTTATTACAGTCAGCAGAAATCGATGTAGACGCTGTGACAGTCTATGAGACAAAGGAAAATGAAAACTTACAAAAACAGTTGATGAAAGTGACCAACCTGGAAAAAGAACTTCTGTGTGTTGTTTTCTTTAGTCCTTCCGGTTGCGAATATGTGTACAGAACGCTCCAAACATTGTACAATAGACTGTCTGATGTGCCACATTTTGCTATCGGAAATACCACAGCACACAAGATTGAAAACTTTGGTGTTGAAATAGCAGGAGTCGCCGCAAAACCTAGTGCCAGCAGTATGGTAGAAACTATACAAAAATATTTTGCTTCATGAGAACAGTGATTTCATGATAACAAGACTAAAATTTAAAATATGGTGCTGGTTTATTGAAATATGTTAGACAAGGGACACTGAGAAAAAAATTACAGAAAATGATGTTATTTTTTAAATAAGTGCTTTAATATCTCTATCCAACTTCTATACTATCTACTCTAATTGTATTTTATAGCTATATTATTATTAACATCGACAGGTGTTCCCATAATTGAATTGTAAATAATTAAATAGCATAAAAATATTTCTTTTAATTTTATACTATAAAAAGGTTGCAGCTAGGGAACAATCTGGATATTATGTATGATATCATGATCAGACAGGTATTATTTATCAAGTCATCTAGCTACCACACATACTGTCTGGTATAACCAGGTAAAATAATAAAAATGCATGATATTTACAAATTTCTTTTATTTCATCACAACGGTCAAATCAAAAGGGATATATGACACATTCGAATACAACATTCAGTATTATACGTCAATTTCGTTGTAGAAGTTAAGAAAATGTAAAATATTCTAAACAACCAAGAATGATACAGTTTTGCAAAACCTAAGTAACGTAGTAGTGGGCAAGGGTGACCATCAAACTTCCTGTTCGGTGGGTGGCGGGTGCGCGGGCTCGCGGGCGGGCAGCGCGCGGTCGAGGCGGCGCGCGGCCGCGCGGTACGTGGCCGCCGCGCCGCCCAGCGCCGCCGCCGCGCTCGCCACGCCCAGGCTCTGCGGTTGGGAGCGACCAAATAATCCTACACTATTCTCCTGAGCTCATATGAAAATGAGAAAAAGAACTTCATAATTCGAGGTTTACATCTAAATTTAGGCAAATTATCCTTCTCTTTCTCGTAGGCCTCCCCCGTCGGGGTCTCCAGGACGATCGGTACTATCTTGAACTCACTTATTATTAACCGACTTAAAAAAGGATGTTCTCAGTTTGGCCTGTATGTATGTATGTTTGTGCGCGATTATCTCGCGTTTGGCTGTACCGATTTTGATGCGGTTTTCAGCATAGTATTTGTCAGTCATAGGGGAAGGTTTTAGATATAATAACCGACTTAAAAAGTGGAGGTTCGCACTTTAACACGTCGTAAGCGACCTCGCGTATCACCGAACCAATTTTGACGCGGTTTTCAGAAAAGTTACCTATTATATAAAAATATAAATATCACAAAAAAACATGATCATTAAAAAAGTCGGGCGCCTATCTTTTAATTTATAACCTACAGAAAACCTCCGCCCGCCATTAATAGCACTTTCTCGAATAAGTCGCTATTGAGATAAGTATTTAAATGATGGCAAAGTCAGCGCAGTCAGCAATCTCTCACCGTCAGTAAGTAGTCGGAGACGGCGCGGGCGTCGCACAGCGCCGCGGCCGCAGCTACGGTCAGCAGCAGCAGCGCGCCCATCACCGTCAACGTCGTTATGTCCTGGGCGGAACATTACAACATCGTGTTACCTACTCCATCGCACCACCACCACGCTACATTGTACATTGCAGGTTAGTTCATGGTACGTTCTCACTTATTGGCATACAATTTTTTTGTTAGACTATTTTATTTTTAGATATATTCTTATTGTAGGATCTTCATCTTTGTCGTCTATCGATTGTTGGGGCGCCACATTATGAAAAACGAATCCAACAAAAAATTATCATCGCGATCATAGCACGAGATCGGGTCATCGTACACTTTATTAACATAGGAATTGTAGTTTTTATCACACGTGTATTACACGTTAATTCAGCTCCTATAATCTCTAATCGTATCGCAAAATGTACAAGAGAAATAGTATTCACTGCACCTGCACAGTCATTATTATTATTCGTTATAAGCGCCGTATCAATCTTGATACGCCGCCGGCCTCTGTCGCCGACGACATCCCGATGCTACCTATGCACGGCAACATTCGGCGCTGGGTTCACAGAAACTCAACCGCAACTTCACTCCGCACAAAATATAACTGCGGCCTCCTTTCACCGATCATAAAATACGCGAGTATACATAGATATAATCGCGAGTCTTATCTTACAATATGACAATAACGACTCACTATAACGAGCCAGGCCAGAGGCGCGCGCGGCGGCAGGCGGGCGGCCACCGCGGCCAGCACCAGCGCGGCGCCCCCCGCGCACACGAGCACCGCCCCCGCGCCCGCCCGCGCCCACGCGCCCGCCCCCGCCCCCGCCCCCGCCCCCGAGCACCCGCCCCCGCCCAGCAGCCACGCGCCCGACACCAGGCAACCCACCTGGATCCGACCAGAGCGATTCATGAGCACGTTCACTTGTGATCACCCAACACGACATAAACAAAAGACTTATCATCAGCGTTTTCACGTCCCCCCCTGCAAGGGCTCGAGTCTCGCTTATGGACGGTAAAGGAGGGTGAGCCGCGACCAGCCCCGCCCTACAAATGCACCCGGGTTTTCTTTGGCTTTCGATGATTCGGGCCGCGAGGAGTTTTTCCGGCCCAGCCGGATATAGTGTGCGCGGAAGTGCTAGTCACCGCCTGAGGTATGCGAGCGGCAGGACGGGGGAGGTAAATGAACGTCGAGCTGACTCGGTCTGCCGTTGAGGATGTTCTTAAAAAGTTAGACTCAAAAAACAAATTGTTAGTTGTATGGGGTGATTTTAACATAGATCTTAAACCCAGTATAACATCCGATCGTTTTCTCTCTTTGTTCGAATGTTTTAATTTAACAAATCAATTTCATGAACCGACAAGAGTGACTGCGAATTCAGCTACTTGTTTGGATAATATTTTTTCAGAACGCAACCCAGCAAACAAATTAGTTTTTAATAATATTTCATCTGATCATTATGGCTTGAAAGTTACTTACGAGATAACGGTTCCTAATGAACCTAAAATAATAGAAGTTAGACCATTTAATAATAAACGCATAAATAATTTTCAACTAAATATAGATGAGAAAATCGTGCAGATGTCATGGACACATGACGACCCCGATATACTTTAAAGTAACCTTTTTCATCTCATAAAGAATGAATTCGATCGAGCTTTCCCTTATAAAACGAAGAAAATTACTACGCAGAAACTACAGTTTTGTGACTGGACTACGACTGGTATTTATAAAAGCAGAAACAGACTATATGAGTTGTACAATCTTAGAAAGTATAACCATTCTGAAAAATTCATAGATTATGTAAAAGCTTACTCCAAATTATTCAAAAAAGTTTTAACTTATTTTATAATTGGAATTTTTAATTTTGTCTCAAATTTTATTAGAGACAAAATTAAAAATTCCAATTATAAAATAAAAACTACTTGGAATATTATCAATCGTGAAACTGGTAAAAATAACGACGTATTGGCACTTACTTTCAAAAACGAGCTTATTAAAACTCCTGAACTGATCGCACATATTTTTGATGATTTTTTCATAAATAAACCGATCGAGACAATTTGAATTCTTCGCCAGAGACAGCAATGGCTATGCTTAGGAAATGTGTACCAAAATGTGATACCTTATTTAAGTTCAAATATATTGATTCATTGGATGTTATTAAAGACTTCAGATCAATAAAAATAAAAAACTCTCGTGACTTATGTGGTATATTAGTGAATATAATTAATATAATTGCTCCCTATCTCGCTGATATTTTCGATCACTGTATTGATGAGGGTATTTTCCCCGATCTCATGAAATTTAGTAAAGTCATTCCTCTTTTTAAAGCTGGTAATAAACAGGATCCTAGTAATTATATACCCATTTCAATTCTACCGACACTAAGCAAGATTTTTGAAAAACTTATTCTGGAACAATTAATATCCTACTTTAATTCAACGAACTTTTGCATACTAAGCAATACGGTTTTACCAAGGGTCGTTCGACAACAGATGCGGGTGTTGCGCTACTAAAGCATATATTTAAAGCATGGGAGGGATCGCAAAACGCTCTTGGAGTTTTTTGCGATCTGTCCAAAGCCTTCGATTGTGTTGAGCATCAGACATTGTCGTTTAAACTGAATTACTACGGTATTAAAGGTGCTGCTCAAAAACTAATGCTGTCGTATCTTAGTTCCAGAACACAAACGGTAGATATAAACGGTGCGAAGTCGTCTGGGTCTCATGTAAAAATAGGCGTTCCCCAAGGTTCTATCCTAGGCCCATTTCTATTTTTAATATATAGAAATGATTTACCATTTTTTGTTAAAAACTTATGTGAGATCGTGTTGTTTGCATATGACACTTATTTAATATTTAACATTGACAGAAACAAATATAATTTTGACAATGTAAACAATGCTCTCTCACGAGTGTTATCTTGGTTCACAGTTAATAATCTTCAATTGAATGCTAAAAAAACCAAATGTATAAAATTCACTTTACCTAATGTAAAAGTAGAACCAACTGAAATTAAACTCAACAACGAACATTTCGAGTTAGTAAGTTCAACAAAATTTTTGGGCATAACACTAGATTCAAAACTGCAATGGAACCCGCATATTTCTATATTAGCTGGTAAACTCAGTTCGGCTGCATATGCCATACGAAAAATAAGACAAATTACCGATATAGAAACTGCCCGGACAGTGTACTTTAGTTATTTTCACAGTATCATGTCCTATGGCATTATATTGTGGGGAACGGCAGCCGATATTCAGTCTATATTTGTTTTACAAAAAAGGGCAATAAGATCTATCTATCAGTTGGGCTCGCGAATATCTCTTAGAGAGAAATTTAAAGAAATTGGAATATTGACGGTTGCATCTCAATTTATATACAGTTGTATACTTTTTGTCCGGAACAATATTAATGTGTATACCAAACATAGTGATGTACACAAACTTAATACTAGTAATAAAAACAAGCTAGTAATGCCTTCTTACAGGTTACAAAAGGTATTAGGTTCTTTCGTGGTTCAAGGTATACAATACTTTAATAAGATCCCCAGTGACGTATTAGATTTGCCAATAAATCATTTTAAAAGTCATATTAAAAATTGTCTACAAAGTAAAAGCTATTATACCGTTAAGGAATATCTAAATGACAAAAAGGCATGGTGTTAGATATTTAAACTTTATTGTATTTACTTTCTAATATTGTAATGGAAAGTGACTTCATATTCTAATGAAGTCACTTTTCAATAAGACTTCTCTGTGTGAAATAAAACAGGGAGAAAAAAACAGCCCTTGCTGAGTTTCTTGCCGGTTCTTCTCAGTACAAGGTCTCCCGCCGTAGTTTTGCGAACCGATGGCGTAGTTTTCGACTTTCACAAGTACTCTGTAAAAGCCTAAACTAAATAAATAAATTTAGATTTTTTGATTTTGATTAAATCACCGCCCGCAACCTCAGGCGGTGACTAGCACTCCCGCGCTCACTGGCGATCCAGTAGAAAATACGTTGACCTATTGCATAATGCCTTTTCTGGTGCATAAATATTGAAATTGCTGCTTAACGTATTTGTGTCATTATTAAATATAATATATAAAAAAATCATGACATTAAAATAAAAAGAAATTTTTTAGTTTAACCTCTCGTCTGTAGACGCATCTTGTGATATAATAAATTAACTTGCCCTTGTCTGTGAGGAGTCCTGTTACAGGACGCGGTTCGGTGTTATCACCTTGCTTAATTTTGGGCCTTATTTCAACGTGACTAAAGATCTTATTCCTTTGTACAGGTGAAGAATCGTTTAGGAATGAATTGGCTTTCAGTCTTGCATATAATTTAGGACGACTATAGTACAAAAAAAGTTGGAAATCAATGTTTCGGTTTATGAACGACTGTGTCAGTGATGGCCGCGAGTTGACGCTTGTGTTTATTTATTGCTTGTGTTTGTATAAATAATTGTAAGTTTTGGTGAATGCTACTAATTAAATCATGGAATAGTAAGTAATATTTCTTGTTGTTAACTAAAATTAATATATTCTTTACATTTTTAATTAAAAATAATCTAAGAAACAACATCCGTGAGTGTATATGAGTGTACAATTTTTATGTGAATTTTGTTTTATCAGATTTGATAAAAAAATATTAAAACCCAAAAAATCTGATTATAATAAGATAAAATTTATAAATCGATAAATCTTATTAGAATTTAAAAAGATTCTAATTATATAAAAATTTCAATTTTTCTAGACCTTAGATTCCAAAATCAAAATCTGATTATAATAAGATAAAATTTATAAATAGATAAATCTTATTAGAATTTAAAAAGATTTTAATTATATAAAAAAATTAATTAAATTTTAATTTTTCTAGACCTTAGATTCCAAAATTATTGCTCAACCCGTATCTGTGAAAAGGCCTGTCGTGGGAACCACACAACCGCCATAATTGTTTTTTTGAAAATGTGTCCTGTCACAGGACGCGTCACAGACGAAATTACCTTACACTTTTTTACCACTTTATTAACAAAATGCTTCATGACTTTTCTTAACTCGCAAGCCGGTTTCGCGGTTTCGCCGTCTCTGACGTCCCGGGTTCGATTCCCGTTCGAGTCGATGTAGAAAACGAACTTTTCTATATTGCCTCGGGCCTGGGTGTTCTGTGTACGCTATTTCAGGCAGGCACGCATCAGCTATTAGTCTTTGAATACAAGCTTTTTATGTAATGTTGTCACATAAGATAGATAAATAAATAGTAATTTATTTCTCTATATTTTCTTATTTTATCATTTTAATTTGACATTTCTTATTATTCTTGACATTTTGTATAACTTAAAATCTGTGAACTTGCAAGTGCATATATAATAATAATAAACCTTACTTGGCAATGCTGATTTTCCAACAACTTCAACTAATTACCTATAGGCACCTGCTTATCAAGTAATTCGTACATTCTGATTTTATCTACTCGGTAATCAACTATCAAGCTATCTGATCTTCTCTATCTGATATTTTGCGGCGATCTCTAATATAAAGCCACCTTTTTTTTATATAGGTTTAGACTATAATAAAATCTACGGCGGGCACTAAATAAACAATCCAAGGTCGAATACTTGCAATTGCCAATATTTTGAGGATCCATTCTGTAGACAAGAGCAGACCGTGGTCGTCGTAGTACTGCCGCAGGGCAGTCCTCTCCTCGGGCTGCGAACCCGTCGCCATCTCCGCTACATACTCCGCCCGCGCACTCGCACGTCACACCGACGTTGGGCACATCACAGACAATATTATATAACACCTTGATCGACTTTCCAACTTATTGAAGGCGTTGACGAATCGTGATCGTGCGTGTGATATCTTACCAGGCGACGGGCGACCACATCTACGGACCGAATAACAATAACATTTTCTTTTCCATGATTTACTAACATAAATATACTTACCGATAGATATTCCGATGCGATTACGCTGACCGATCGATTATCTCTACAGATAGCGTATATGTGGACGAGGTGAAATTAAAACAAAATCTTGTACAAAACCATATATTATCATTAAAATTTAAAAGTAAAAATGACTCGCACGTCGATCGAGACCGCACCCTTGTACGGTCGTGGACAATATTACGAATTTGAATAACCATTATCCGAACGATCGGTATCGTAGTGGTCCACGCTCGGGATCACAACTGGGACGCGCGACAGCCACGACCACAGCGTCGGGGAACACAAGCGTATGACATATTATTATCGACACGCGGGACAGATCGAGTGTAATTACACCCATATTATGTAAATATATGAAACGGACCAGGGGCAGACTATACGCAACCGCTGCACTGACAAAGATTTTGCTTAATTATGCGGCCAAAACTGAAGTTTTTAAATTAGTTACAATTACAAAATGTAATATCTCTCTACTTTAACAATAGAACAGGCGATAATAAACCGATCTCCTCGGCTTCGATAGCCGCGCGGGGTACGGGCGCAGCAGGTAGTCGAAACTTGTTAGTCTCCTGCTACGCACGCGCTCTCGGTATTTTCTCTTTTAAGTGAACCATTTTTCGTCGTTAATATTCTTGATCTGAAGACAGTTATCAAAGTAAACAACATCGATTCCAGTGCTTCAGGTAAATACCATTATTTATTATACAAATTGTCAATCTAGTATTATAAAAAAAAAACTTTATTTTAAAGCTTCTAAACATATTACGTTTTGTTATTTTATACGTTATTTTTACGTGTTGATAAAATATTCTCGATTTTTCAATTTTAAAAGTAATTTATTTATATTATCGCTTCCTCTCGCCGTAAAATTATTATTTATCACAATACTTTATACTCTTTTCATATGATTCTGATTAAAATCAGCTGCAGGTAATATTTAAAATTTCATCATATGTTGTTTTTTATTATCAATTATATCATTTAGAATAGTTATAGCGATTAAAATAATTTTGGCCGCATAAAACCTAAGAACCTATTGCGTTCAGCAGCGCACATAGCTGCTGAACGCCCAATAAAAGTTTATTTGGTAGCTTTTTAAAAATATTTGTATAACTAAAAAGCTAACTAAAACAACTGAATAAAAGGAGAATAATTTAAATCCGGTTTAACGTTAATAGGAGCTACCCCCCGGCCGCCATACTCGCTTCGTACCAATAAACAGATGTCATTCGGGTTCGCACAAACCCCGGCGCTGGTGTCGTTTCAATCACGCAACACGCGCGTGCACGTACTCGTACTCGTGCACGTGCACGTACTCGTACAGCCGCAGAGTATGCGCGTCCGCCCGCACGCTACACGATACAGACGCGGTATCCATAACAATCTATGTAATACAATGTGTAACACAATTGACTAGAAAGCCGAGATCACTAAAGTAAATATGTATCGAGAACACTGAGGACCGGCACGCATTCATTAGCTTCAACTGTCGATAGATAGCGGTAGTATCAACTTATTTGGTCATTTTAATGCGTCGATATATAAATGCCCGCGCTCTTTTATTCTTACGATTATAATAGTAAGTATCTCAGCCATACATTCCGGTTTCCATAAAAACTATAATTGTCTTCTTTAAAACTTTTTGGATCATTTTAATTTATTATACTATTTGTGGTAGAAATTTTAAAAAAATTAAATATACAAACACGTGAATAGGATGAATATTTACATTATTAAAAAAATCAACACATGAGGACACTAGCGACGATCAAAGATAATGAAACCGTGACGTTCCACCTTAACGGCTCGTCTACATTAGCCTATGTTGTTACGTATAAGTATCGTAAATTGCTATTACGCTGGAACCTTGTCTAAATAACACCCGTGTGCCGTCATATGCAAATAGAAAGTATAGATAGCACAAAAAGGAAGAGATAAATGATTTATTATTTATAGTAATATTTATAAATTATCTCCAAAATTTTGTAATAATAATTTAAACGCGATAACAAACGGAAAGGATTTTTTTTTTTAACATAACCAAAAGTAATAATAAAATGTTAGATTTATTATTAGTGTAATTATGTTTACTTAGTATGAAAATCATAATATCAGTTGCTGTTTAGGTCAACTATAACAACTAAAGCGTAACTATAACAATCGAAAACAACAAAAAATTATGTGTGATCTCAGCACAGCCAAACTCACTAAGTAGACTCGTCAACCAGTGTATATTTGCTAACGGTACTGATTTTTAACGCAATTACGTCATCAATATGGTGGTCAGGCGCATTAGCAATTTGCGGAGATTATATGCAGATTGCGGCGATTTCTGAGGACTCATTTTCATTGGTTTGTCAGCTCATTAACTGAGCCCGCAGAGATCGCCCGCACTCCGCATGCGGACCCAACGGGCACTGTAAACGAGCCATACCTTCATTTATTACACATAAAACGAAATTTATACGAATGTCATATAATAGAATCCATATATTATGCGTACAAATCGAGTTTATATAATAATTAATATATACCGTTTGTAATATGTTTAATACATTTTTGCCGCCTTAAACTAATATACACCGTTATCTATAGTATAGCATAAATAATATACGTCGCTAAACCGATTACATGGCCGGTTAGGTACATAACAACTTTCATTTTGATTCTGTTACACGTTGTATTTCGACAAACAAATTATTTAATTAATTCCAGAATCGAAAGTGTATTTACAGACGATGTCCATGGTGATATGTATGACGATCTAAGAACAAAACACACACAGCACCCGTCGCTGAGTAACTAATACAACTAATAAGAGAATCATACGAATCGCTGTCGGGACACGTCGCGGTCTCACTGGTATCGGTGGTACCGCCTACTCGCCTACTATTAAACACTAAATCACTAACCAAAATAAATTAAAGGTAAAATCACCGAGAGACTTAAATTCTTAAACAAACTCAAGATCTAGAAGAGAAAATATGATCCAGTGTAGATCGTCAGGTGCCAACTCCACATATGTAGCTTGGGAAACAATATTGACGACGTGGGCGCTCTATTATAGGGATAGTGTATATATTATATAATGCAAGGTAATGCTTCTCTCACACTCGTATCTACAGTCGAGAAAAGTAATCACTCGGAAAGTGGCATACCTTTAGCAGATATTTTTAACCGATGAGAATTTGAATGGAACAAGAACTGTTGGCAGCTACCGCTTAAGTAACCACTCTTACTCACGTAAATAATGATTACCTCGAGCCACTCCCTGCTTCGGAAAGCACGACGAGCCGACCCCTCCGATCCACGTCGGGCCGCAGCGAGGGAGGGGGGGGGGGGTGGTCACGACCCTCGAGCCGTGCAGGGGGGACGTAAAAGGGCCGTTGCTGATGAATTACTTAATTCGACTATAGCTACGGGTGTTAGGACTCGAGTTGCCGAAAAAGCCTTGTTATCCTCGATACGAGGACTTGAAGAAACAATTGCCCGCGCTACGAACCGCCGCGACCGCACACGCCCACTAAACTATAAACGATTGCTAACATTGATTTCCTACCCCGCGGGGGATACCCCGTCGAGGGATGAGGTAGGACCGAACGTTAAGTGCTCACTTAGAGACTAGTATGTGATGCCAAAAGAAAGCGATAATTATCCAGTGAAGTTGTATATATTCTTACATCGTCGGCAGGGTGTACACCCTACCTTATTAATAAAAAAGAGAATTATAAAATATCAAAGTTGAGATGGAACGCGAGACGGAATGAATAGTGTATGGAGTCATCAACGCGTGGACAGAGACAGATCGGGCAGTACAAAATTACATCTATAAACAATAATATTCTCGAGATCAGACTACCTTCCCGTCCGTGATCTTATTTAAATCTTATTTATAAAATCTACAGATTCCGCGATCGACAGTGAGTTATCCCATCCTGAATGTCTTCTTTGACATTATGTTTATATACATATATATGTATATAGTTTTACATGAATGTTTTTGGTATAGTAATACTTTGCCTTGCAAAGTTTGCGATAATTATTCTTAGTTTACAGTTTTTGTCGGCATACTTATAACGCGGTCACCGAGCCGACATAATTTCGTACAAACACCCAGACTAATCTCTCTCTACCTCGTGCATCAACACATTGCTGTTGCGCTCACACAAATGGATCTGGACAATTTTGCCACACTGAATTGAACCTGTAATGTTCACGATATCTATCAATAATTTTATTTCGGACGCTGCTAGAAATAAAAGAACCGACAGAACGGTTATTTCAGCAAAAGAACTGTCCTGAAAGGGGCCCATCCCATTCAGCGTGTATCTCAATGGGGAGTCTCTGGGGTCAGTTGGGCAGGAAGGCCATCGACTGATCACTAGGACTCGTATTTGGTAGTCAACGACACGTCAAACTATGCAATACTGACAAACTTCCCTTTAAATCTTAATATATGGAGGGTAGAGGTGAAAATCCATTGAGGGAAATTTGACATATTGTAGGAACCTGACGTGCAGCGGGGTGCACGTCGAACATATTTATGCAAGATGGATCCAACACATATCTCACTAACTACTCACTGTAAGAATATGTCTATTTGCATTTTTCATAACAATCACCTGAGTATTGGATAGAAAAAGAAATATGTAATAATACTACGGACAAAAATATTACTATTGTTTTTTTCTGCTCGACTGCAATCAAACCCACGCCGACTCCAGACCGGGCCAACGTCCTATAGTCGAGCCACCTTCGAAGTCGTCCCTTTCGTTGGTTATGAATCGAATCCCTTCAGCATAAGGAGGCCCGCGTACTGGCAACGTGCACCACGTATATACAGCGACATTACACTAGCATACCGCCGACCACGTATACACGACTACAACTGACCGTCCACCGCCGCCGCGTATACACGCACGTTACTTACAGACTGACAGACGATACCCGTACACACTTTGGTGGTTCAACAGGAGCGATATTGTCGCACGAACTAAACATTCAGTTTTAAATATATTCAACGTTGTACAATTATGGTGGGCTGTCGCTGTCGCTGACGTTCGACAAAGAACATTGAGCGGCCGCGTTAGTGTGGGACCTGAACTGAACTGAACCGCTCCATCGACGGGACAATAGTGAATATATACACACTTCACAGATGTATGAAAAGAATATTCCAAACACTACGACACAGCACGTTCCGTTATCGCATAATGTGATCGCAACCTATTCAAATCTCTCCTTCCACTCGAGCTATTCTATATATATTTTCTTTTCATTGATTCCAATTCTTTCACTATTTTATCCATCAATAAAACCGTCGAACGAATTCACCCGTGTCCGTATATGCTTCCTATAAGAAAACTCACACTGTTTCTCGAATGCTACCTCTGTCCCGTACAGTACGTAACGCTAGTATCACTATTGACTTAAATTATAAAGAAAAATACAAAAATCTTTTCTACGGTAGCAATTCACAGACGATTTAAAATAATATTATCGACAGGCACGCAGCGAAGTCAGGAATGAGGATGAAAAAAACAGCCGGGCAGCGGGCGGACGGGACACGCGCGGGCCCGAGCGGATCCGAACTCGTCTCATCGGAATCGTTCGTCTTATAAATAATGGCAGTCATCGTACCCACATCGAAACGTTCAAAGACGAGACGACGGGCCGGGCGCAACTAATCACCACCGAGGACATCGGAGCGGGCGGAACTACGAAAACCGAGCGATCTCGAACGATCTTTCAGCCGTGATCCGCGTTCGCAGCTCGCCAGCGCTAGCGCGCCGCGGGCACTATAACGGGTTGTCGCGCGAGGTGGACGGCACCGCGCGGTAGTCGCCCCCGCGCCCCCCGCGCGGCGCCCCGCCCCCGCGGCCGGCCCCGCCCCCGCGCCCGCGCCCCGCCCCGCCCCGCGGCCGCACGCGCACAGCCCGCGGCCGGCCACGCCCACCAGCGCGCCCGACGCGCACGCGCCGCCCAGTCCGAGGCCCTGCAACGACACACGGCCGCGGCTGCCTTTAATCCGATTATTGAACGGTCAGCCGGGTGACTCACCGACGATGTGGACTCACCGAGGCGGAGTAGAGCAGGCGCGCCACGTGCGCGGGCGCCCAGCGGTACTCGGGCGCGCAGACGAGCGCGTGCAGCGTGAGCGCGCCGCCGCTGCCCAGCGACAGCGCGCTCCAGACGGAGGTCCAGGTGCCGAGGCGGTTCCAGTCGATGGGCATGAGCGCGTGCAGCCCCGTGAGGTGCATGGCCAGCAGCGTGGCGTGCAGCAGCAGCGAGGACAGCGCGGCCAGCTGCAGCAGCTGCACGCGCGCGGACAGCGGCAGCGCGGCCAGGCGCAGCCCCACGGCCGCCCACACGCAGGCCGCCGCCGCCGCGCAGCACACCACCACCTGCACGCACACGAGCCCACCGTTCATGCTCTATACGAATATATCGAACGAACAGACCGCGGCAATTTAAAAAAATAAATTACGTTACGTTAATGTATATTTTCTTTTCTATATTGTCTCGGATCTGGCCGTTGTGTGATCTTCGTCGTCTCGGATACTCCGTAATACGGGGGCTTTAGCTACTCGTCTCGGAATCTGAACGATGTATGTGATGTTGTTGAATATTTATTTATTTATTATTATTTACGGTTCGGTCCCGGTCCCGAATAGTGAAACGGGAACTTTATTATTGAGAATCCCCAGACTGTATCTCGTGTCCCATGAAAATTGTTGATTGAAATTGAAATTTTCTCAGATGATGTATTTCTGTATCCGCTTCGACGATAAATACTTTTAGTATTTGTCGTTGACTCAGAATAAATCCCCTCCGACAGACGTGATTCGGTGCATAGGTGGACATTATTATTTTTATACATTTTATGAGCATAAAATATTAACAAAAAGTAAACCTACAGTTCATATTTATTACATTTTTTATAATACATTTCAACCATTGAAGATAACTCTCATAAAATAGATTTATTTACTACATTCATACATTCCATACAAAGGAATGATCGTTATCGAATAATAATGGTTTTACCCATTTTTAAGTTTTAACTTACGTCTATTAACAATTACAATCGTACATCCAATTTATGCAAGTGTTCAGCATCTTGGCGTTTAAATTTAATTAAGGAAGCTTAAAAATATTAATTTCGTTGAAAACCTCGTTGTATAACGTGCAAGTTCTTTTGATATAGCTATTGCTTTCGTAACGAGTTTTATTTTGCTTTACAGCAAATAATGATTTTCTGCGACTTGTCCTTTTCTATTTTTTGGGAACTCGGAACCATTTTCTCAAAACAACGGGACATCAACTATGTCAATCAAAATTTTAAACAGTTTATATTTATAATATCTCTTCGATGTCTTAAGGATGTTATAAAAGGTCTCATAACCTAAGTGTGGATTACCAGTTCTGTAATCTAATAATTTAATGAACTCGCGCTGCACTCTTTCAATTTTGTCTTGATGTATACGATGTTGAGGATTCCAAACGGGGCTTGCAAATTCAAGTCTACTACGAACATAACTGTTAAAAAGTAATTTATATGTCGCGCAACTCTTGAAAGGTCTACCAACACGCAAAATAAAACCTAGGAACTTAAAAGAATGATTTACAATTCTATCAATGTGCGGCACTAATGTCAATTTCGAGTCCATAGTTATGCCAAGATCCCTTATTTCCGTAATGCGATTTAAATCTTTCCGCATAATGTATACGAAAAATTAATAGGGTTTTTTTCCTAGTAAAAGTAATTGTTTGACACTTATTCGGATTTAAAAACAAACTATTTTTATCACAGTATTCTTCAAATTTATTTAAGCTATTCTGTAGTAACATGGAATGTTGATGATTACGTATTACTCTGAAATTTTTTGCATTGTCAGCATAAAGGAGGACATTTGAGTCTATCACGGTGTTTGGAAGGTCATTGACATACAAAAAAATAGAAGTCCTTAAGGAGATCCTTGAGGGACTCCTGAAGGCACGTTTTGTATGAAGAAATATAACCTGATAGACCCACCGCCTGACTACGATTCGATACATATACTTTTAGCTAACGGAACAGATCCCCGTGGATCCCGAGCCGCCAAAGTTTAGCGAAAAGAGTTACCTCTATGCCAGCTATATCAATGTATCCACCGGATGATAGACCAAATTATAAGACAGGCTTTCTACACTGTTTACAAAAATGGAATGGAAATGTTCACTAAAGAAGTTACATATTTCTACATCATTACTACTCTGTTCTTTAAAATGCAAGGTATCCAGCATCCCATTATTACCCTTAATAGCCTTAACGTAGGTCCAGAGGTATTTTGGAAAAGATTTAATTTTGATTTCTGCATAGTTAATGTAGTTTTTGTAACACGTATTTTCCATATGCCTAGCTCTTTTTCTTACACTGTAAATTTATGATAATCTAATGGATTTCCATACAATTTCCGCAGCTTATGGAATTTCCTTTTTTCATTTAAAAGCTTTTTTAGGGGTTTGCTGTACCATACGGGGCATCTTCCATATGATTTGATTAATTTAATCGGAATGTATTTTGTGATAAGGTCATATAGAAATTATATAAAACTTAGAAACAGATTCTTGCAGATTCGAGTTGTCGAAAAACTCATCCAGTTTACTAAGCTCGCATTCAATTGAATAATAATCAGCTTTGGAGAAATTATAACTTTGAGTCGGCGCAGGCTTTAATTTAATGAAACTATTAATATGAATATCGATTTCTATGAAGTCATGATGCAAGTCTTCTGGAGTCAATGGGCAACAACAAATTACAACATTGCATTTGATATCATTTAACACCAACTCAAAAATTCGGCTACGAGCATTTTATATTCCATTTTATTGTCGCAAATCAATAAATGCCAACAAATTTCTGACATATTAACAGGCATGTCACCACCATTTTGCAGCAGCATACTGCGTGTGTGACTGTCCGGCCATACCACATTAGACATTATATTAAAAATATTAAAGGAAACATGAACCTGATAATGATTGAAACGTTTGAATCGTAAATAAACAATGATAGTAACCGCGAGCGCGGCGGCGCCCCTGGGCGTGCACAGATGGCGCGCGCGGCAGTAGAGCGGCGCGAGCGGGCGCGCGCGCGGCGGCTGCGCGCGGCGGTACTGCGCGTGCGAGTCCCACGACCGCTCCGTGGCCTCCGTGCCGCACGGCGACCGCCCGCCCGACCCGCCCGACCCGCCCGCGCCGCACCCGCTCCCGGCTATCTCGAAATCCTGACGCAGTCGATTATTCATTATTATATTAACCGACACCCCCAAAACACTATTGGCTTTATTTATTTATTCGAAGGGATAGCATGAACGATGATCTCGAGTCATCCTGTGATTATATAATGCGTTAATATATTGAGAGGCAAAAAAGTTAATTTTACTTCTTCAAAAAGTTGCCCGGTTTTTATGGTACGATATATACATATATTATGATACTCCGTATGTACCGTCCATATTCAAAGTGATCGTTCGAATTGGGATCACTACTTTTTTATATTTCAGCAGATCTTTCACCCGACCCGAGTACGAAGTCGCAAACTTTGTAATGTTGTATTGAAACAAAACTGTTCTCCTGAATAGTTAATTAGCTCACAGACACACTCAGTCTATGGAAATTTTAAATTTAACATTACCTAAATTTAAAACCCATATTAAGAATTGTCTACTCGGTAAAGGATATTATACTATTAATGAATATTTGAACGACAAAACTGCTTGGAGTTAAATATGGCTCATTTTTCATATATATTAAATTGTTAATCGGTGAGCTTCTTTGGCTACAAATGTGATTGGATTGTAATATTGTAATGGAAAGTGACTTCAAATTTTAATGAAGTCATTTTTCAATTCTGACGCTCTGTATGAAATAAAACAGGGAGAAAAAAGCAGCCCTCGCCGAGTTTCTTGCCGGTTCTTCTCGGTACAAGGTCTCCCGCCGTAGATTTACGAACCGATGGCGTAGCTCTCGACTTTCACAAGTGCTTGCAACAGCCTAGACTGAATAAATGATTTTGATATTGATTTTTTTTGATTTTGAAATGTTTCAAAAGTATGTTACATTCAGTGAAGGAGTGGACTATTACCAGTTGTGAATACTATCTGAACGTTTGATTCATTACACATTCATCTTTAAAATGTTTAAGAAGCATATACTTTATTGCACATACAATCTATAACTTCTGAATTTCTCCTAATTCTGAATTTATTATTGGTGATATTTTAATTGATACCGAAAGTACAATAAAGGCATTAAAAGCCTTAGACACAACCAAGGGTTCGGGATTAGATAATATCCCTCCGATATTTCTTAGATGTACTGCAGAGTCAATCTATGAACCTGTATGTTACTTGTTTAATAAATGTCTGCAAACAGCTTATTTCCCAAATGTCTGGAAAACTGCGAGAATTGTGCCAATACACAAATCTGGAGACAAAAGAGACGTGAAAAACTATCGCCCTATATCTATTCTGCCCACCCTGTCGAAGCTTTTCGAGAGGCTCGTACATGATGCCATTTACCCATGGCTCCATAGATGTATCATTGAAGAGCAACACGGTTTTGTGTGACAACGATCAACTTCTACCAATTTATTGGTATACATATCAACATTATTTGAAAATATACACAGTAACGTACAAACCGACAGCGTATACACGGACTTTCGAAAGGCATTCGACAGGGTTGATCATAAAATACTTTTGGAGAAAATAGCATACAATAGCATATGTGGCAATTTATGGAGATGGTTCAACTTGTACATTTCAAATAGTACGCAAAAAGTAGTCGTCGGTGGTTGCGAATCTAACGCAAATTTAATTACTTCCGGCGTCCCTCAGGGCTCGATTTTAGGTCCCCTTCTCTTTATATTATTTATAAACGATATCCCCGAGTGTTTTAAATTTTCTAAATTCTTATTATATGCTGACGACTTAAAGATATATCACGCTATTCGCAACCACAATGATCACTTTAAATTACAAAAGGATTTAGATAGATTTACCTATTACTGCAATCGTAATAAATTGAGTCTTAGCTTGAATAAATGTAAATCTATCTCTTTTAGTAAAAAAAAATATAAGTAACTTTACATATACTTTATGTGGAAGTGCTTTGGAAAAGGTAACCATTGTTAAAAACCTTGGTGTGACATTCAATAGTAAACTAAATTTTGACATACACATTGACACTATTATAACCAAAGCATTCAAAATGTATGGATTTGTTATGCGATCTTGTTATCAATTTAAAAAAGCATCTACTTATTTACATCTATTCTAATCTATATTTAGTTAGATCTCAGCTAGAATACAGAGTGAGTATTTGGAATCCGTATTATAATAAATATATATGTAGATGATCCCGAGAGGGTACAGAGAAAGTTTATGAAAACCATGTATTATAGGTGCAGACATGCTCTGTGTCATGTGAAGAATTATTGGAACGGTACCAATTGACAGATTTAAAGTCTAGACGGCAATACTTGGAAGCCGTTGTCTTATTTAACATATGTCACAGCGAGTATGACTGTACTGAATTAGTAAATAAAATTAACTATTTAGTACCAAGGCGGGCGCAAACAAGATCTCTGCGTAAACACCAACTGTTTGCTATATCTAAATGTCGAACAAATGCAGGCAAGAGATCTCCAATGCACCGAGGACCAACATTTTATAACGATTATTTACAGGACGTGGACATATTCAATTTAAACAAGCCAAAATTCAAAAAGTTAGTTAAAGAAAGAATAAGCAAACTAAATCGCAATGCCATATCATCGTAAAGTAGTATATATTATCATGTTTGTAAAAGTTTTGTTTATATAGTGTTCTTTTTTTGTTAGTAAGTAACCTGTGGTTAAGAGTGTTGGTTTTGCAATTATGAAACTGTGAACATATCTTAAATTATAACCCTATTGTAAAACTGTTTGTTGACCCAAATACACTAAAAAAAAAACTTTTCATAACAAGTTTAAGCCCTAATGACAATTTTAACAGATGTTTATGAACATAGTTCTTCATTTTGTATAAATTACCATTAAACGTACATTATTCATTGAAATAATCATGCAAAATACATATGTGTTGTGTTTGTTGCTATAAGCACATTAGCAATTCTTATAAGTTTGCAGTTTTCCAGAAAATTTGGTTACAAAGAACATTATAAGTAAATGATCATATTAACATAATGATGTTTTTCCAACAATAACGGTAAAGGTGAGGCAGGGGGAGGGTCCTAGGGCATACCTGCACCTCCTCGCCACGACAACTCGTGGGCTCCAGCTCGCGTATCTCGTCTAGCAGCAACTCCACTTCGTCAGTTGAATATAGCTCACTCACAGACACGTAGCGCGCCGGCGCCGCTTGCATATCACCCGCACACTCGCCTACCGCCGAGCGCCTTTGCACCGGCACCTCCTATCAGCACCGAATTCATCACTGCTTACATACACCACTATTTCACATTCAATAATTAATATTTACCGAGTATCTTTAAATGATGTTACCTTTTCCGAACGTTGACATTGATATTCCGCCCTCCTGTGAGTGACCACATAATCTATGGACAATTTATACTTTAAATTGTGACCTAATAAACAAAATCATTTCCGAGACGCTTCCCCATCTTCATTCAACACGCCATGTTTGATTACATTTAACTTTTTTATTCACTTTGACAGATTGAAAATGTCATCGGTAGACAGACATACTGCCATAGCTAGATTAGAAAGAAACATGTACGTTTTGTCTTAGGAAGAAATATAGGCAAACAATAATGTATTTGTCGCTTCTTTCTTGTATCCTTTTGCAGAATCATGAATGAATATATTGATCAATGCCGTATATATCAATACAAACAAGATCGTATACTGACCACGGCACACGGTGACCACATGAAACAAAAGATAAATCAGTGACGTCTCAGTGGAGTGTTGCTACATAAATGTCAATTACTACATAAATGTTAATTTACGCGATATCATTCTCAACATCAAAAAAATACTCTTTGAATGCCACTCTCATAATATTGACATTGCTCTAGCTTGGATTCCTGGACACAATGGTATTCGCAGTAACGAAGAGGCGGATTCTTGGGCTAAAGATGCAACAATTACTGGTGACACTTCCCGTTTACAGAATTACTCGTCTGATGTTCTTCAAATCGCCCAAACTAACCTTAATCTCGAATGGGAAAGCAGATGGACTAACAACTCTAAAATCATTAGTAGACATTACGGAAACCTCCAAAGCACCGTTCCGAGCAAACCTTGGTTCTTTAAATCCCGCGATCTTCCCCGACGTGCAATTACAACATTATGCCCAGTGGCGTAGCTAGGTAACCTAGGACCCTGGGGCAAATAAAAAAATGGGGCCCACTGCTATCAAAACTGGTAAGGTTTTTTGAATTAAAATCATTAAATATACAAATACTTTAAACATGCTAAGCAACTTTATCATCAGCTCTTTTTCGTGCATGAGCAGGTAATAAAACTATTAAACACTAACAAACATAAATAACAATTATTTTTATACTTAGTGTAGGTATTGGGCAATAAAACGAAATAGAAAAGATTCAAAGGTTTATTATATATTTATTTATTCATAGATACGTTGCACCAGCTTACTGTTATTTAACCTAACGCCATGCAAGCTATTTACAAAAATTATCAATAGAAATCTGAAGTACTTGCAGAAGGCTGACTAAAAAACTTGTCAATTTTGGGCAATTTTTGTTTACTTTCTTCTCTTTCTTGGCGTTGTTTGCGTTTAAATGCACCACTGGGTTTCTTTTTTTTATCCCTAATATTAGTTTTCTAATATATTTATGCAATATTTATGTAAGATTGTACTCAAGTAGGTACTCACTGTTCACTGACAACGTTACAAATAAAAGGAATGCGAAACGTAATGATACGATACAAGACGTCGTTGGGGAATCCCCGGCAAACATTTTATCGCCGCCAGAGTTACCACATTTGACGGTTTAAAAAATGACAAAAAAAAATATCATGTAATTAATGGACGGCCCCCTACCGCATGTGACTTGTATTTTTCACGGTATTTTGAGTTATACAGGAATAATTTAAAACCACTGCGAAGATTTTGTGAAAATAAACTTTAAGTAAATTAAACAAACACGTATTTTTTATTTTGATATGTTCTAATACTAAAAAATAAAGTTATCGCTTACCAAAGATCGAGATTTTAAAACTAAATTTATGGACACCGCGCGCCGTGCGTCAGCTGAGCACTCGCTCGACGCCGTAGGTATGTACTCGTAGGACACGGGTCACTGTCCGCTCATTTTGTTAGATTCGAACTAGATTTTGTGCCATGATCTGAGGTGATTTGTAAGAGTAATTCCAATTTTCCCGTAATACTTTTGGTTGGTTGGTATGGTTAAGGTCATCAAAATGCAAAAAAATAAAATAAAAGAGAAACATATTCGTTACCTAGAAAAAAAATATTAACGTTATGCCGAGGTTACATAGGTACTTCTGCGTTAAGGCGTACTTAAAAATTGGAATCAACTACGTATTTACAATAATGTTGAATCAAAAATAATACCTAACTACAATAATAGCCAAATCCGATTACTTACCGAATCTTGAACTGATCACTGTATTTTAATATTTGTTCAAAATAAAGTCCACCTCTGTCCAGACATAAACGTGTACATTTCATTAAATTGTTATTTAATTTATTTAAAACACTAGTGTCACTTTTCACTTCACAAAAAGCGTTATTACTTTTTATTGTTAAGTCTTCTAGGCTTTGTACCTCCTCTAGATCCCGGCGTTTGACTTCTTCCCATAAGAAACAGTCCCACACGTGTGAACAATGCCTCATCCGTCCACAAGATGTTTGCATTGCGATGATGTAGAAGCCACTCGCATAAGACTCGACGTGGTACTGGGTCTAGGTCATGGAGCTGCTGAACCGGCTGAAAGTGGTACGGATGGAGTCCGGCTGTATTAAGCAGCTTCAATACTGCCGGCTGGCTCACATCAAAGCGACGTGTCACATAGTGGGTACTAACTCTAGGACTTCGTCTGTTAAACTGGTTCGCGCATTAGGGGCCGCGGGGTTACAGATCCCAAAGGCTCGCATACGAGGTATGCTTTTCACCACTCAGATGATAACTCGTACCATCTCGTAAAACTCACATCGTGATTGGCGAGAACGGCGGGCACTGCGCTTGCGCGGGAACGCGGGGGCGCGTCACATCGGCGCGTGCGTATGAGTCTCACTGCCGCCACTGTCGCGCGCGTCGCTCGGTCCCGAGCGGCGGAGGCTGTGGTGGGGGGCTGCCGGGCGCGGCGGGGATGCACGGTAGTATACGCAAGAGGAGACGTTTTCATTGAAGTTTTATTTTAAAAAATGTGTCCATATTCTACCGTTTCAATAGGGATAAAAATATTTAAAAAAAATTAAACTAATTATGGAAAAGTGTTCTATTACTGATACTGAATCACCAAAAAAATTTTCGGTTCGGAAAAAAAAATCCTGTATAGTTAGTAGCCGAAATCTATAGATTTCTTTACGTAACTATGTATACGTACTAGAACTTTTGTATGAACCATTACAAAAAATTTATTGACACACGCTTACTTACTCCTGATACAATAACTTTTTAACCATGACAATCGCGAATCACAAGAACGCATATCGATAAATAATAATATGGATATTGATATCCGACAAATTGATAAAAACATTAATAAGACTGTCAACCCACACAAATAATTTAGGGGAATTCCCTTTTTATAACTTTGGAATTTCTCACAACTGAGTTGCCATGATTAAACTCGAGTTGTCACCTGTCATATTTATTTTGAAAATGGGAAAAAAATTCAAAAGTTTAGTTCGATTGAGATTTCTGGTAAAGATTCGAGGGCCCCCTGAGCTTGAGGGCCCCGGGGCACTGCCCCGCCTAGCCCCTTGGTAGCTACGCCACTGATTATGCCGCCTTCGCCTTGATCATGTTACGTCGCCGGTGTTCCTTGCAAAAATACGCATATTAGACAGTTCTCTATGCGAATGTGGAATTGAGGAAGGTTCTACAAACCATATCTTTTTCAACTGCCAGAAATACCCTTCTTTATATGATCAACTTCCCCCCAAAACCCCGCGTCCAATTAATCTTAATACCCTCTTATCTATATCCGATAAACCCAGCTTTTTATGTCTCTGCAAACATATTAATAAACATAACATTAGATTATAATCCCCTACCATAGCATACCTATTTATTTATCTATTGCAATATTTTCTTATTATAAATAGAATTTGTGACGTTTGTTTTGTGGTGTTTTTTTAGGTCAGAGAAAGAGCACACTCAAGGAAGTAAACGGAATTAACGTGTAAAACGCTACTTACCGAGCAATTTCTTTCGTGTCTCCCTCACATGAATTTCTGTGGACATTGGACATTGGCAGAATTTCTGTGTATAACGGAAAAAGGCCAGAATATAAAAAAAAAATTACGCGATATCGCAAATTTATTACTCCATCCAAATAAAAAAAAAAGAGTTTCGATTCAAACAACTTAATTGAAAAGGATTGAGATAAATATCGAAATTAGATAATCAGCACTCTAGAAAATCATCGTCATCATCCTTTTTACGTTGCCACTGCAGGGGTTCGCTCGACAGTATTGCCTTCGTTATGGATGGCAAAGAAAGAAAGTATTCAATGATAAAATTTAATACAGAGTTATAGTTTAATAGTTATGAATCGAGTACTTGTGGCCACAATGACTCGTTTGCCTCCAAAAATGTGTAACTTATGTATTAACCCCTATGAATGTCTCAAATCTCTCAAGTCTTTGAATGCTGTGACTTATATATATCTAAAAAATGTATCGCAATCACTTTCAATGTAAAGCGATTATGATAGCGATTTATTTATTTTCATGTGAGTCGCAATCGCTTTTGGAACAAATGACGATTTGAATGGTCAATTTTAAATAACCTTGTGCTAATTTCAGTATCGAATCGATATCGATATTGAATCAATACCAAGTAATGAGTGAGTTAAAAAAAAAGAAAAGCATAACAAAAGGACCTCCACTAGATGGCGACTCTAGCAAAAGTTGATTTTTGCAAGAGACGAAATATAGTCATTTCCGTTCCTTTTAACTGACGTATTGAAAAACTGAATTTTGCAAAGTTCGAAACTGAAAAATCAATACGGATACAAAAAAGTACAAATAGGATACGAATTGTTAATTGAATTTTAAAAACTAAATTATTTTAATACATGAAAGAAAACCAGAAGAGTTATCATGGAGAAATCAAGAAAGTACCGTAGCGACATCTAGTTTGATTACAGGAACAATTTTTTTTTTAATATTTCTTCATAGCATCGGTTCAATGCCATTAGTACTTGGTATCGATTCAAAGTATCAAGTAGTTGCTCCCATTTACTAGTATCGGTTTGTTTCTAGTTCTGCTGGGTCTCAGGTAGCTCAATGGTTAGAGCAGTCGCCCAGCTTGCGAAAGGTTATGTGGGTTCGAGTCTCAGGATGTTATGCTGGTGGATTTTTTAAGCATCATCATCATCAGCTATTTGTTGTTCCCACTTCTTTCGTTTGCGTGTATCTATAATTTCCAGTACTACCTATCACTTAAGGATTTCCCGAGTTTGCCACGCTACACGATTGAGGTCTGTTACGTGGTGAAGGTTAATAAAACTTGTTTTAGTTATGTACCAAAAAATTTATTTTTATTTTTACACTTTTCGAGTTGTCATTAACATTAATTTGTATCACAGAATCAAAATGTAACAAAGAGCACTACGAATGCACGGATTCAACACATGGGCCTTAATAATTTTATTTATACTTAATATCTAGAGATAACGATAAAGTATCATTTTATATATCGTTTGCGAACGTCGGTACCCGAGTACGCGACAATATTCGACGTACTTATAAGTAGCAATAAGACAAAAACATTCGAAAACGTTCAAAATAGGTGCGACAGGAAAGCGTTCGACAAACGAATTACATTTTCTATAATTGCGCTCGGAGTCGGTCGACGAACCGTCACAAATTTCACTTACGCACTAATCAAAAACTGCTTAAACTAATTACTGATAAGAAAAAAAAATCTAGAAAACGAGCGAGCGATCGCGATGGCGTCGGTTTCGATTTCGGCACAAGACTACCGTAGAAAATGCTCTTCGAGGTAGGTAGGTGTATCGTCGACCCGGCGGGAGGTCCGCGGCGGGGCTATCGACCGCCGAAGCCCGGAGGGGGACGCATGCCCGGGGGGGGGCGCATGCCCGCCGGCAGCGGCACCACCGTCAGCTCCGTCTGCGTGCCGGACGCCACCAGTCGGAACTCGGTCGCCTCCGGGTTCAGCTTGGACGCGGCCGGGGCCGGGGGCGGGGGAGGGGGCGCGGGCGCGGGCGCGGGGGCGGGGGCGGCGGGCGAGCGCATCGCGCGGGCGATCGCGTCCGACACGTACCAGTGCGCCGCGGCGGGCTCCACGCGACTCAGCAACCGGAAGATCTCGCACTCCGACGCGGACAGCGTCACCTCGCCCTGCTGCTGCTGCGGGGGCGCGGGCGGCGCGGGCAGGGGGCGCGGGACCGGGGGCGGCGCGAGGGGCGGGGCGGGGGGCCGCGGCGCGCCCGGCACGAACACGGGAATCGGCGGAGGGTACATGGGCGGGTACAGAGGTATTCCGCCCGGATACGGAGGAAAGCCCGCGTACGGCATCACCGGCGCGAAAGCGACCTGCGGCGGGCGCGGCGGGGGCGCGCGCTGCGGCGGCGGGGCCCGCATCAGGGGCACCCTGTTGAATGCATCGACTGGAGCGGGGCGGGGGACGGTAGTTTCGTTCTCCGTTCGCCCTCCCTCTCCCGCCGGGACGGCATCGGGGAATTCCGGAGCGGGCGCGCGATTTTTGTCAGAAGATCGAGGTAGGTCCGGTTCGTCGTCTCGGTCGTCGTCGGACGCCGAGGATGCGGGCAGCGCGACGACCGAAGGCGGGGGCGAAGGCGTGGGCGGGGGCGGGGGCGAGGGCTCGGGCGAGGGGGTGGGCGTGGGCGGGGGCGGGGGCGTGGCGGCGGGCAACAGCGGCGGCGGCAGGCAGGCGGGCACGTGGCGGCGGTACTCGTCCACGTACTCGAGCACGATGCCGTCGCGCAGGTAGCCGCTGATCTCGCCGAAGTTGGGCGTGTCGCCGTTCTCGAGCGCGTCGAACCGCGGGAACAGGTAGCAGTCCGACGTCTGCAACGACCGCGGCGGTCACTATCCGGGGGCACCCGCGGAGGCGAGCTCGTCGCAGACTTCGGAGCTAGACCTGACCGCGGCGAGTTCCCGAACCGATGGATCGTTTAGTGTTAATCGGAAATGACGAGAGCGCGCCCGAGATCGAAAGTTCGACCGCTGCCCGTTTACGCGGAAACGTCTATCACCGAAATCCCGACTGCGACCGACGCCATCCGGCCGCCTCCGGTTTTTCCGGCCCGTGCCGCGGTCGGCCCGTTTCGGACGATAATCGTATTACATCCCGATTGTCTCTCGAAATAAAAATAAATATCGATGAAACGAGCCGAAACGCACGCGACCGGTCGAACCGAATCCTCCACGGGTTGCCTCGGATAGTAGACCCTACTCTTGTACGCCACATGCATCGTACATTTCTCGAGTCAGCATTTTATTTATTATTCTCATTTACAATTAATATTTTAACCTAGTTAGTATCATTACGTTGTATTTTTATAAATAAACAGTTATCAGTTAAATCAGTGTTTCTATCGAGATTACCATCATAACCAGTTAAAGGTAGTAAAGTAGAGACCGTACAATTCTGATTCCATAAATTAATATAACACTACCTATACTAAAACGAACGTGCATCATCGTTTAATCATAAAACATGATTTGATAGAACGATTTTCCAACAATACAGGAAAAATATATGACACCATACATAATACGTTAAATAAATTTTGGGAGTGCAAAATTGAGTCCTACAGTCTTTGATCAAAACATCTAATACAATACTCAAATACAGCGCCGCACACTGCGACAACCGAGCTCCAGGACTGGATTAGTACTGAGTCGCTTTGTCAATTTTATTCTTCTTAATAAAATGTACATTAAATAATAAAGTACCGGATAGCATAAAAAATTAAATTGTGTGTGATTAAAAATTAAATAAAGTTCCCTGAATACTTTTACTAAATAATAATGATTTCTATTTCTAAATCAATCAACAAAAATATAATTTTCCAATATTTGTAGTCTGTGTCACACGTCAAACGAAATGCCAATCGGAGTGCATGACGTCATTTGTGGGTGAATCGATAGTAAAATTACATAGGAAAAGCGCGGGAAACGTTTAAAATGCAAAATGATTTTAATCAAGTTACAGGGGTCAGACTTCTGTTTCATTTATTTATTTATGATTTTGACTGTACGTACTGAATTATAGTTAATTCATTTATTTTCCACTGAAAATCGCTTTTTGTTTCCCCACGAATGACGTCACGTCCCCAGAGCCGCCGTTTATGTGGCTTATTTAAACATTGTTTTGGTTACATAATTAAGGTTAAATTTACATCAAATAATATTTTTTGTAGGAATAAGCACATATACTGACTTATTTAAAACAGTTTATGCAAATTGTCCGATCTCGTATTTAGAGAATTGGCAAGTTTTTAATGTAAGCAACAGTACAATGACAAAACCTCTCTTATCTTTGCCCACATTGTTCCTTTTTATAATTAAGAACATAGTTACATTCAAACAATACTTATTGGTACACTATCATTCCGCCCGCGGCTTCGCCCGCGTGGTCTTGTATTATACATAAAAACCTTCCTTCCGAATCACTTTATCTATGATAAAAAAACCGCATCAAAATCCGTTGCGTAGTTTTAAATGAAATGAAATGAAATTTTGTGTAAGAAAAGAAATATTATGTTATTACTAAATTTTATATTAAATTGAAAAACTGGATATTTTGTTTATATTTAACGTCGTACTGGACTATTTTATTGTCACCATCTTATTTTCGAGGCATTAAGTAACCTTTATAATAATAAAAAAAAAATAGGTGAGTAAAATTTTCACTTTCTAACATTTTTTCTGTTAACATTTTCGATATAATATGGTTACCCAGTACATCGTAAAAGCTTACACTATTATTATGCCATCTTGTATACAATAGAAAAATGTTAAAAGTTTAAGCTTAATTACTGTTGAACGAACATGGATAGAAAAAGATCTACCATCATGCCAGTTATCACTATAATACAATATATACACATCATTAGAAGTGGTCAACTAACAACACTACGTAGTGCCGTTATCTATTTTTGTTTTCACCTAACTAACATCTTTATTTAAATATTACAAACAAACGGAATGGTTAAGTAAATACTAAATCAGAACCTTATTATATATAATAGATATCATGAAAACGAAACAATCGTCATTATAATTTGATTACAATAACGACATTACTTCACTTCGTCAATCACAAGCGAGCACCTAAAAACTTTAAAAACTCAACAGCGATAAAGGCTCTCATAAACTCTTAATGTCCCACCGATAAGCTTTGTCCTGTTCGGCTGAACTAAAAGTCACAAAGCTAAGTGTAACTAAACAACGCTTATATAAAAGTTTTATTATTAAATTTTTATATAGGAAATATATAATATTTTCAAGGGCAATACTTTAAAGAATAAACGTATAACTTATTGTATACGATAGCCGACGAGACCAAAGAAGGACCGGGAGGGCGATTCTGCTATCACTAGCGTAATTATGGGGAGTCAATAGCTCTTAAACTACAACCATCTATGATACAGTTCTCGTTGCTAGATCACAACAATAGTAAATATATCTGTCACCGTTGACTTGCGAGGAAGGCATCGCACTAACAATAAAGTCGGATGGTGCCGTCCTACACGAAATCATAAACATAACAAAAAAAAACGTTTTTTTTTATTTATCTCTACCATTACAACTAAATTAACATATTTATATATTTCTACATCGCACTATCGATCGGCCGCGCCGGTCCCCCCTCCCCCCGTCGTATACTTTGAAATATAACGTCGACGCTTTTCGCAACGAAGGGCCGACCCGGCGGCGGGATCGAAATCACGTTTCGAAGCGAATCGAGTCAATTCGCTCAAAGGAAAGTAGTCGTCTGCCACCCACCCGTCGTCGCGGAAAGCGGCAACGCGACACGCTATACTGAACGAGGAATAACAACAGAGATATCGGGGTTCAGAGGCGGCGCAGCCTGGCGGCCAGCGCGAGTTTCCGCCTCAGCAGGCGGCTGGAGATCGACACCACCGAGTCGGGGGGCGAGCGCTCCTCGTCTTCGTCCTCGTCCCCGTCCCCGTTTGCGTCCCGGGCCGGGGCCGCCCCCTGCAACCTGGCGTGCAGCGCCCGCAGCCGCGCCACGGCGGGGGACGCCGCCTCAGCGCCCTCCCCCTCCCCCGCGTCCCACGCGCGCAGCCGCCGCCCCCCGCACCCCACCACCTCCGACGCGGACGCGGACACGTCGCTGCCCGTGTCCGCGTCCGCCTCCCCCTCCCACTCCCGCTCGGCGGGCAGACCGCCGAGCGCGGTGAGGACGGAGCGCGCGAGGGGAGGGGTGGCGGTGGAGGGCGTGCGGGGTGGCGGGGGGTGCGGGGTGTGGGGGGCGACACTCACCCGCAGCGAGGAGTCGCAGCGCGCGTCCGCGTGGCCGGAGCGGACCAGCTCGGCGCTCACGTTCACGTCCTCGTCGGCCGCCGTGTCGATCAGGAACACCTCCACTATGCCCTCCTGCGGAACCGACCGCAAATATTCATCGCCCGAGTCGTACATATTTTTTTAATCTACCAACTTTTTTATACCTCGACTGTTCGTATCGATAGCTAAATTAATGAAAATAATGAAAAACTATTGCAGGCAAACGGCCTGCGCTCAGTGTTACATATTAATAGACGACCGCGAAAACTACAAAAGTATCGATAACGAATAGACGACACGAGGGGGCGTGCAAAGTTTACGTATGCTCCGCTCGAAGCGGTGGACGGTTAAAATTTATGATCCTATATCAATATTTTTATATTAATTAATTCACACACCTCATTGTTAACAAATTTACACAGGCAGCGCTAATTCTATAAAGCTTCGCAATAAAAAGTTTGAATTTCGACGACCTCCGGGCGCCCGGTTTCGGACCGTCCCTCGAGGTCTCGGTTCGATTCCCGGTCAGAGGATATACGAGGAGATCGGCGGAAGGAAAACGAACGAGAAGGATACCTCTCTGTCGACGCCGACGACGTTCGCGTAGAGCCGCTTGTCGCGCACGAGGTTCAGGAAGTGGTGGTTGGCCGAGTGCGGCCAGCGCCGCCCGCCCGCCGGCGGCCGCACGCCCGCCAGCCGCGCGCGCACCGCCTGCGCCGCCGCCCCCGCCCCCGCCCCCGCGCCCCCCGCGCCCGCCCCCGCCCCCGCCCCCGGCGCGCCCCACTCGCGCAGCAGCGGCTTGAGCGCGGCGGCGCGCACGGTCTCCACCGTGCCGTAGTCCACGTGGCGCACCTGCAACACCCGCCCGACTCCCAGTCCCGATCGATAGCCCGGTCCCCCTAACTTTATGTCAGATTTCGAACGGGCCCCGGCCGATCCTAAAGTTTGGACCGCTTTAATTCTCTCTTTTCATCTATCGGTGTGAACCTAGCCAGCGATGGTGTCGACCCGGGTAGACGTATCGACGCCCTCGCTCCGGTGAAATGACATCGAATGGATTTAAGACTAGTGGTGGAATTTAAACCGTGCTCGAGATTTGGAATCTTCCCCGATTCCTTCGAGGGAGCCGAAGTCGGTCCCGTATGTAAATCTGGAATCGAAACTGACCCGATAAATCGTAAACCGACGTCGGCCTCGCCCGTTATATTTAAAATATTCGAGAATCTGAGAGAGAGCTCCCGAGTGACCGATGATACGATTTTCAGTCGAGATCGAGGACGCTCGGGGCTCCTGCCGCGGGAGACGATCGTCCGTCCCCGAATCCGCGGCGAAGTGAGTCCGGCGTACCTTGACCGTCTCGCTGTCGAGCACGCGCACGATGAGCGAGCGATGCCAGTCGCCCTCGAAGACGCTGCTGCAGTAGTGGCCCACGCGCAGCGCGCCCGCCGGCAGCCAGCGGTCGCGGCCGGCGCCCCACGTGTAGTACTTCCTACGTTTCGAGAGACGATTAAGTGGCGCGTCCAAGAATGACCACTCCCGAATGTATGCGAGGGGAACTGACGTCATTTCGTCCATGATATCCTCCATGCGCTGGTAGTGGTCGGGCCCGAGGCGCAGCAGCCAGAAGTGCGACGGCGAGTAGACCTCGCCCACCACCACCTCCAGCATGGCGCCCGCCTCCAGCTCCGCCAGCGACGCGGCCGGGATGCTGTCCATGAAGTGCATGCAGTCCGCGGGGAACACGTCCGGGTCCTGCGTGCACCGCACATCGTTACACTCGTCTTCCCCGGTCCCAGAATCCCACAGAAACCCTCGACGGTTCCTTGTGTGAAATAGACTAGCGGGGGCAGTTGGAAGAACGAGCCCGAAGATCGTAATAAAAATTAATCAATTGGATCGACGATGTAAGCGTTCCCTAGACGTCTACGCAGGGTTATTTGCGAAACACCGACGACTAGATGGCCGACTGATGAATAACCGACGTTTAATTTGCGATTTAACTGCGGCTCGGCACAGGAAACTACTTATTTATAAAGTTTTTTATCGTGTAGGCCCCGTCGGGCCAATCGCAGGTTCATTTTGAAACCGCCTTCAAAAAAAGGAGGTTATCGACTCGAGGTGTTTTATCGGTATGGAACAATGATAAAAGGTTAGATCGAGAAAGTGGACGGGACGTCGCAACTCGCATTTGCCCGAGAAATATGAAGGTCACGCTGGTCATACGCCCCGTGCAGTATTTGCACAATGTTATAGTGATTTGTCGTTTACGCAGTGAAAATGTGAATCTAAAAAAGAAGAATTTCGTTTCACCAGTACGTAAAAAATATTGGATAAATAACTGGAATCGAATACAACGACAAATGTTTTTTCGAGCGACAGTGTCAGGCTGTAATAGTGCTTGCAATAATCGATAATATTTTATCGATATAAGATAAACTCGGATATCGTGTATAGCAATCAATTTAAATACAATTAGAACATTAAAGCAAAATTTTTATTAATGCCATATTTCATTTTAACTGTTTTGCTTAAAATGGTAAATTTTCCTGATATCAGAATCAAAATATTTTAGTAATTTTTACTTATTGAATAGTGCCGCAGAATAACTATTGGCATAATTCGTAACAAGGATGTTACGGATATGTTATTTCGGCTACGGTGACGGATACGGATATTTGGCAATTATTATATCGGTTACGGTCACGGATATAATTTCTTTTCGGATTATCCGATTGTCTCGGATAGTTTCAGATACGAATACTAGATTTAGGCACTGAGAAGTATCTAAACGTTTTATATAAAATAGAGCTTGAATGAGTGAATACTTAATTATACTTCTTAAATAAGACGAAAGATATACATCAAATAGAAATTTGAGTCTTTTGGTTTATTGGTATTGCAAATAAAAAACTAATGAAAGTTGTAAATTAAAAAATATATATTATTTTCTTTTAAAATAATGTGGATCACACACAAAGTGGCGTGGCTTTTTGTGCTCGTCGTTCCGATATGAACAATGCTTTTATTTTGGAAAAAGAACTGTATTTTGGCCATATATACAGTTAGTTTATAGAGAGAGAATAGAAATAGTAAGTGGGCGGGGCACGCGTCGCTGGCATATGCGCTTTTACTCATATGACGCCCATTCCTCGGTTTTATGTTTGCCAGTCGTTCGTCAATCGTCGAGTGGTGATTTTACAGATTTTTTCTATAAAAAATGACGTTTTGTGCTATTATCACTTGTAAAAAGCAAAGCAAAGTATACAATCTAACTAATGCAAACATTTCCTTTCACTGGTAAGTACAATTTTTGTGCTAAAATATAAAAAAACGTAATAATTTGACACAATGTTAAATAAAATATACATTGATTGCTCAAACCAACATCAATGTTTCTGACCCCATTACTAAACAGCAATGTAAATCATTTTGTGCACTTTTGCAAAAAATAGTGCTGTGCCACCATTTGTCTGAAATGTACCGATAGGCTGCTGCTGCTCGGAATCGTATTGTTAATTATATGGATCGTAATCGATAACTAAAACATATTTATTTTCTTCTTTCGAGCTTTTCTTTCATCATTTCATAACAACGTTATCGATAAATATATGCCATAATTATATAAAACTAAAAAAATACTGTTTACAAGGGAAAATTATAGATGAACTGATACTGAACAAATGAAATAATGAACTGTCCAGGCACTTTTTTTACGAAGATTCAGTTAATTATTCACACGCAGATAAATATTAAAAAATACTGATGTGCTATAAATATCTAAGTTACGAAGTATATCACCGTTTTATGAACAATACATAAATTAAACGAAACTTCGTGAAAAGCTAAGAGTTGGCCTAATAGGTCTTGTTAGAAACTGGTGAAACTGGATTTCACTTATTTTGCATTACTTATATTTCAGTTTCCCTAATAACTTTACAACGGATTGCCTTGTTTACATAATTAATTTTGCCCTATCTGTTTTAGACCTAAACCTATCAAATGAATTTCAAAACAACATAATATCTATACAAACAAAAAATTATGTTTTCAACTAACGTAATATTGTTGGTGGTGTGAATTTAATTTACAAAATTAATTTTTAGGCGTCAATTTAATTTACCTTATTATGCTGATTCATAATCGGAAACTATTATTATAGAAATCGAGTTAAGAAAGCCACTTTAAAGAACCGCCCACAGAACAGCTTTTATCAGTTTTTTGTTGCTCCATATTTGCACATAAGTTTATAGACGCATGTCTCAAACGAATGTGACTTTATATGTAGATTGACGTTTGTACGTACTTATCGCTTTTGTGTCTATCTTCAAACTTTTTTTGTCACGGCTTTCAAACTCATACTTGACCAGCAATTCCTTATTGTCCAGTCGTTGCAATTAATAATGTAGCTACTACTATTATTACAGATATAAAACTTAGAATAATAAAGTAAAACAAACATGGCTATGATCAATTTATTAGTGTAATGATCATATTAGTTATTATGAAATGAAATGAAAATATCTTTATTCAAGAAGGCTATTACAAGCACTTGGAATGGCAAGTTTATTTTTATTTCTACTTTTTTTTGTGAAGGAATCGTAATGTTTTCTTGCGTACATAATATTTTCATTGATGTATTGAGAGACAACAGTCAAAATATTTATTTCTTTAAATATTTCTCTGAGAGATTCTCTAGACCGTAAATTATATATAGCGTGGACAGCTCTCTTTTGTAGAATAAAAATATCTTGAATGCTAGCCGCAGAACCCCATAACAATAGATTATACGTCATTCATTACACTATGAAAATAACTAAAATATACCAATCTTGCCAAGTCTTTTCAACATTTGTTAAGAGTCTAATTTTCTTAACAGCAAATGCTGCAGAACTCAGTCTACTTGACAAATTATCAATATACCAAAATACCAAGGAACTTTGTCGATTCCACCATCTCAACTTTTTCACTATTTACATTTATAAGTATATTAACATGCCTCACATTAGGTAATGCAAACTTTATGTATTTCGTTTTATTTGAATAAAGCTTTAAATAATTACTATCAAACCACTGTAGAAAATTGTCGAACTGAATTACATTGAACTGTTTCATAACAAAATTTAAAGCTCTTATTTTATCAACTAATATGTCACATCACTAATATGCACAATCGGAATGATACCAGTAAGAAAAAAATAAAAATTAGGCTTAATGTAATTAATACAAAAAATCTGTTGTTTTCTTAATTTTTGTTTTTTTTACACTTTCCCTCGCTTAATTATATTACTCCACAGACATACGATAGAGTGTATCATTAAGTTTTCTTAGTTTTTGTACTGCGTTTTTTAAAAGATATTTTAATAAATAATGTAGGGAAAAGCCTTATTTTTTCAGTATTCACTTGGTTACAGCAAAATCTAATATTAATAGTTCGCACATAAAATGATGACCCCATTTTTTTTAAATGTGCATAATCTTAAAATATTTTTTTCCTTCTGGTATCCCCCTATACAGCCACGTGACAGTTCAACATTCATGTTAAAGTAAATTATTTATTATCACGTTGAATTAGAGTTTGTTTTTAATCGTGTGATTTCTTAGCTTAGTATCTTTTTGGGATTTGGTTTATGTTATCGCGAACCTATCGCGTGGCGGTTTTTCATGTAGTGAACAAAATGATCATTTCATCTAATCTGTATTTGTGTGCGGAGAGGCGACACTCGGTTCCCATACTAAATTAATATCATTATACTTCGAAGGAATAAAATGCGTACGTAACCGATTCTCTAAAACACGTATAAAACGAGATATTGTTTTATTTTAGTGCTCCATGTAACCATCACAAAGTGTTCTCAAACTTTTGGCGTAATGATAAAAACCGAACGCATAACTCACAAAGTCGATGCCGGGGAGAGCGTCCTCTGGGTCTATGACGGGCGGGGGCCGCGCCGCCGGGGCGCGGGCGCGCAGGCGGGGCGCGGGGGCGCACGCGGGGGCGGGGGCGGGCGCGGGGGCGGCCGGGTCCCGCACCACCCACTCGCCCGAGTCCGGGGCGCGGCTCACCGCCACGTCGCCGTCCAGCGCCATCACCACGCTCAGGATACTCGTGTACCCGAACCTGCTGAAGTCCAGTTCGCGCCCGTACCGCTCCCTGCGGACCGTGCCACGCGTAAATAACGAAGCGAACGTTCGATCCGCGGAATGTCCGAGTGGCCCTATGGTCTCCCGGCCGGGGCCCGGGGCTTGCCCGTGGATAGTCTCCGGTACCTGACGCCGAATCTTACCTGTACAACCTGATCAGATCGGTGCACGGAACTCCTTCGGGATGATCGGCTATCAAGTCTTTTATTTCGGTCTTCAACTCTTCGAGACGAGCCGCTTTGGAAGAACTGTTACCTGTCCGATCAGAGTCAAATTTATTAGTCTAGGCCGTTCCGAGCACCCGTGAAAGTTATAAAATGTATGCAATCCGTTCCCAGGTTTACATATAGGTGAGAGACCTTGTACAGAGAGGAACCGGTAAGAAACTCAGCGAGGAGTGAAGTCGACGATATTACTGCAGCAAAGAATAAATAAATAAGACGTAAAGTTGCTTTCCGTTCACATATAGCAAAAAAAAACCTAATTCATTTCAATTAAAAATGCTTAAAATAAAATAAAATTAAAATGTTCACCTGCATAGCATTGTTAACACTAAATTGATTAAATAGTATAGGAATATTTTTAAAATAAAAATTTTCACTCACTCGAAGAAGTCTGTCTGCCAGAATCACCATCATCTTTCAATGAAGTTTGTTCATTTTCACAAGAGTGATCGTTACCTGTGAGAGACGTCTCACTATATGCTGGCAGTCTTTTCTTCAAGAACTTCTCTAACGCACTGGAACAGTACTCGTGTTCCGGTTTGCCTGATGTGAGAGCACTATTTTTTTGTTTATTTTCTTTGTCACTTATGTTAACATTCGCTAATGATTTACTGATAGGTAAAATTTTGGATGCAGGTGTCTTTAATGATGTTTGTTCTGTAGCTGATGAATAACTTGTTGGCTCTTTAGTTCTCACTGGTTCACGATTCACTCTATTGTTTTTGGTAACATTTGGTTTGAATGTATCTGCTATCAGATTAGACTGTGGTTTTGCACTCAATACACCTGGAACACTTCTTCGTTTTCCTTTGCTGCAAATTTATTACATTTTCTTTGAAATCTCACTAATGAATATACATATTTAATTAAATAAAGTATAAACCTATTCGGTCCTATGAGCCTCTTAAGAGGATTTGGTCATGTGATACGCCGTTCCAGCACGCCTCTTAAGAGGTTCCCAAGCCAGCGGTCAATAAAAATATAAATTACTTTTTTCAGTAATCTATCTATGTCACAAGAAAAACAGGAGCAATATAAGTGATATAATATTTTCACAAAAAAAATATCAAAATTGTGTGTAGATCAGGAGAAAAAATGGGAGAAAAAACATGTGATTATTGATTTTTTACTTTAGAAAAACGATTATAATTGTTACATATTGATAATTAAAAATATATATAATAATTTAAGTTGATTATTTTAATTATCAATTACACACTTTTTGATTTCAAGTGGCCTCCATATGTTTACTTTCATGTGAACTATAAGGGATAGGACCGAAGAGATTAACATAGTAACTGCAATTAGAAATTGTCTATATCTTCCTAAGTGTCTCAGCGCATACACTCCAACCAACATAAATTTTAATTTACAAAATCAATTATCAAAATAATTAGACTTCAGTTTCATAAACCTATATAGAAATTCTGAACATAACATACGTATACTTAAGTTGCATCTTTTTATATTGAAGCCTATACATCAGTCAATAAAAATAACAATACCTTCAATACTTTGTTTGTAAGAACAAGTGATTGTTTTCTAGTCAATCAAATCATCTACATTAAAATTGTAAAGAGGAAGGATATGATTGTTTGTTGAAACGACTGGGTCAATTTATGAAATTCTTTCACCTACGCCACATCGTGCCATGCCAATTCAATTTGAAAGGCAACAAAGAACTACTAAGAAAATAAATCACTTACTGTTTGACAGTAGATGACAACTTCTGTCTCTGCACAAATTGATCAATGTGTTTCAAAGTATCGGGTACAATAAGAGTCAAGATTGGATTAGTAGCTGGGCCTGTAAGCTACAATTCAAATTACAATGTGTAAATATTAATTAGATTTAAATAATTAAAAGGAAAATGATGAATGTTCAATAAAATATTTTGTAAAGTTCTTACAAGAAAACAGTCACCGCAGCGTTCTCTGAGGAATAGAAGTGGGTCTCGGTAGCCATACTTGGCTAAAGGAATAGGTGAACCCATCATATTGCGGTAGTCGCGGAGTAGCGATCGCACGTCCACTTGTGTAGGGCTCGACACCACCAGCGACCTCAACACTGACCTCAATTCTATGATCTCCTGGTCCATTTTTGCAAAACATTGATATACACCCGGTACGGTATTAACTAAAACAGTATATTTCAAAGAGATCACCTTTAGATTTTTCAGAATATTGCACTTCTCCAGCTGCAAAAAAGAAATATTTTTTTAGGAAAATACCATGTGTATGATATATGAAAAGTATGTATACCTTCACTCACAGAAAAATTATTTAGATTAAAACAAAAAATCGAAGGTGAAATGTTCAGGTTCTACCAACAATTGTTCTATATAGAAAATATATTTTATATCTCTTCTATACAAACCAAATAAAAATAACCACAGCAAAATAACAGTTTAACAACAATGCAAACATCGCAAAGAGTAGGAACCACAGACTAAGACATACGTAGACGTAACATCAATTTAAAACTCTGTAAAATTATAAGTAGCAAAATGAACCTTATCATTAACAGAAGCTAATCCGAGCCGAGAAAGATAGTCACAATGGAGGCCATTTGTGTCTTTCTTTCATCTTGCCATTATAAAAAATATCGTTTAATAAAAATAACTATACTGGAACACATTTGTATTTTAATGGTAACTGTTTTAAAATTTTAAGTTATTATATAATTACGTTAATGTTGTTGATATTAAATGATTACAAAAAGACAGTAAACAGGCTAATGAGAAAGTATTTTAAAAGATTAGTTCCCGAAATCACTACCTAGATGTTGCTACGGTACTTTCTTGATTTCTCCATGAAAACCCTTCCGATTTTCTTTCATGTATAAAAGTAAATTAGTTTTTAAAACTCAATAAACAACTCATATTGTATTTGTATTTTTCGTATTTGTTTTAATATCTAAGTTTCAAACTTTGCAAATTTGAGTTTTATTAATATGTTAGTATAATGAAAAGGAAATGACTGTCTTTGGTGCATTCGTTACCTGCAAAAGTAAATTTTTGTTAGAGTCGCCATCTAGTGGAGGCGCTTTTTTATTGTCAAGGCTATTTGTTCAATTAATTTTTAATGGTATCCCTTCGAAGCGTCATGGTGGTGGCCACCAAACATTCGTGGTGGCCACTCATTGGTATTTTTATTTCAGTAGTTTTTTTTTATATTCCATAGGTTAAAGTGACCATTTTAAAAGTGTCGCCTATATGTTTGTCCAAATGAATCTTGCAGTGGTTGACATATGTTTTTTTCACGATTAAGATAAAAAACAACAACATTGTAAATTTAACAACTATGCATTTGTCGCTGTGAAAAGGTTTACAAAAATTTCAATAAACGAAATAACATTCAATTCGTTACGGTAAAATGAACTTAGTAACTTCATAAATAATTTTTAGTAATGTAATGATTTATTTAATATTGAATTTATCAGCGTTAAAAATACATATTATTAATGAAAAATCGTTTATTTATATCACATCAAACTATTTCACACAAATTTACTAAAATACGTATGTAAACAAAATTATCTGTTATGATATGACATTGGCCTAGATATCTTTTGAGATTTTGTATTTATCTTTAAGATATGAGACCTCCTCATCCTAAGGCTCCTCATCCTAATTATGATTAGGTTATGTGAAGTTAGGATAACTAAGATTAAAAGTTGATCATTGGAACGTATTAAAAATTTTACATTTAATACTAGTTGAGGTATTACAAAACAGGTCAATATTGGAAAATTTACTATTATACATTTTGAGACAACGACAAAAATAACTATTGCAGGTATAGTTTTTGCGATAAGGTGGTGGTACAAATATTTTTATTGAACGTGAGGAGCGTGCGGGCAGTCGGGCTTTGATAATGAAGTTTATTTTAGAAAGAAGAACTGGACAGTCAATTTTACTGTTTATCAATTTGAAAAGAAATACTAAATCAGACATCTTTCGACGATTCTCTAGCGATAGCAAATTATAGCTTTTTAGTGACTCCTTGTAATCCTTATTTGCGCAGTTTTTACGAAAATTAAGTACCTTCATGAATTTAAATTGAACCTTTTCTAGACGGGCTATATCTTGTTTATAAAAAGGATTCCAAATGACACTACCGAATTCCAAAATAGAGCGTACAAAAGAAAAGAAAAGAATTTTTAAGGTATGAGGGTTATTAAAGGGCTTAGATATTCTAATGATGAATCCGAGAGTACGAAATGCCCTTTTAACTATTTGGTCGTAATGTGCTTTAAAAGATAATTTACTGTCCACTATTATTCCTAAGTCTCTAATACTATCAACTCGCACCAATTCCATGTTGTTAATCTTATAAGGATATGTAATTGTTGATAGTTTTCTTGAAAAACTAATGATACGGCATTTGTCAGCATTAAGGAATAATTTATTATCTCTGCAATATTTAGTTAAAGAGTCCAAATCGCTCTGCAGCCCACGCTGTATAACTTTGTATAATTTTGTGTCGTCTGCATACTATAGGTGACAACAGTTACTCAAGGCTTCATTAATGTCATTTATGTAAATGCAAAAGAGGACAGGCCCAAGATGAGAGCCCTGCGGAACTCCAGATGGAATAGACAAAAAGGCGGAACAATAACCCTTAACGCAAACAGCTTGACTACGATTGCGAATGTAAGATTCGAGCCATCTAAGTAGATTACCATGCACACCGAGGGTCCAAAGTTTTTGTAAAAGCAAGTTATGAGAAATTTTATCAAACGCCTTTGAGAAGTCGCTGTACACAGCATCCACCTGTTTACCCTGATCCATAGCCTGAAGAACAAACTCCGTGAATGTTATCATATTGGTGTCAACGCTGCGAGAGTTAACAAAACCATGCTGCATAGTGGATAAACGATGTCGGATAAAATACGATAACTGATCTGAAACTATTTTTTCCAAGAGTTTCCCTAAAACATAATTTAGAGATGGGACGATATTCCGTAATCAATTTTTTTTTTTGTGGTTTTTGGGAATAGGTGTCACCAAAGCTCGTTTCCAGAGGCTAGGAAACACACCGGAACTAATTCATTTGCAGAATATCATTGTTAAAGGTTTTACTAATTGATTTGCACACTGTGACACGAAAAAAGGATGTATGTCATCGGCTCCGGCTCCTTTATGTATATTTTAAGATGTTTCAAGTGTTGCAATATTACATTTTCATCAAGCTGTATATCACTGAGATCTATCGATGTCCCAAGCGATGTATGCATATCAAATTGAGGGTTGACATCAGACAATTGTATAAAAACTGAATGAAAAGCCCTGACATATGTCTTCACCTTTCGTGAGTACGGAGTCATTATAAACCATGCTCTGTGGAAGGTCACCGGATACCTTTTTAGATTTTACATATGGCCAGAAGAATTTAGGGTTTTCTTTTATTTTTTCGTTGGAGAAAGCCACATAGTTCCCAAAAGTACTGGCTACTAATTTACGCAAACGAGAGCTAAGTAAAGAAAATGTTATATAATCCTTTCGACTACCATATATTTTCCATTTCCTATGATACTTTCTTTTTTCATTACTTAATTTTATTAGAGAAAGTGTGTACCATGGGGGAAATTTGTGAGTATTAATTAATTTTTTGATAGGTACGTGTATTTTTATGACGTCATTTATGACAATGTAAAAAGCTGATAACATAGAATCAACATCAGTACAGTTTAAGAAAATTTTATCCCAATTAACAGAATCCAAGATTTTCCTAATAGATTCATATTCCGCCGTAAAGAAATTTCTTTTCAAGACATTGTTATATTTAATAGAATGAGGTAAATTAATTGAGAGATTTATGTCTAAAGCTTTATGATGAGGGTCTTACTTCACAAGTGGCATATTCACCATATTAATGCAACAGCGCACACTACAGAACACCAGATCTAACAAGCGATTATTATAGTTAATTATGTGGTTATACTGTTGAAGAAAGGATAAATTCATAAAATCAGATGTTAATGAAACTAAACTATTATCACTAGGCCAAATAGTCATACCGCCATATTCAGTATCCGGCACCCAATCAGCACTACTTATGTTATAATCTCCAAGAAGAATGAAAATATCATTAGAATTTGAATTTATAATTTCCACCGTGCGATCGTAAAAGGAATTAAGTTGGGATTCGTGCCTTGTGCCATGCGGCACATAAACGCATGCCAAATGTAAATAAGATGGAATGACGTCATAGGATCGACATGTCGCGACCGAATGATTGCAACGGCCGCGCAATGGTATGCTCACCCACAGCTCGTCTGCTGGCGGTGGCGCGCACCATTCTAAACGGGCGGTGGGGAACAGTTCGCTACGTACAGCAATTACAAGCCCTCCTCCACGACTACAACCACTGGCAGCCATATCACGATCACATCTAAATGTTTCATAACGCCTATCAAAGTATTCTGAGTCATAAAAGGAGTCATTAAGCCAGGACTCTGTGATACAAATAATGTCATAATAATTATTTAAAACACTACTAAAAAAAATCATGAGACATCGTACGCAGGCCCCTCACATTTTGATAATAAACAGACAAAGTATCATTAGAAGTCATTTTGAAATATTGTAAATCAACAAATATAATATAAAAAAGAAAGGAATAAATAATTTGCGCCACCACTCTGTGAATACGCTAGAACTCACATAGCAAAAGGTAATCATATAAACATCGAATTTCCTATTTGAATCAATATTTTGTCCATAAAACACACAGTAAATCATAATACACATAGAAGAGCCAACTATTAACGTCACTGCAGAATTACAGTATGACATAGTATAAAGGATTAACAGGTTTAGAATTCGCAATAGTCACTTTATCTTATGTAAATCACATTCATTGGAAATTAAAATCGATTTCGACGAGTCATTTTTTCGGAGAAATATCTTGCAGGCATTGAGCCATATGTATTGGTAGTTTAAGTCTTTACCCAGCTTTCGAACCTGCTTAAATAGGGTCTTGTTGTGTGGCGTCAAATGATCGTTGATAAATATAGCTTTAGATGTGCCATCTATACCAATGTCTGCCGTAGTCAATCCACGCCGAGTGCGCACGGCTGCCAAAAAATCATTTTTCTTTTGATAGTTTAATACATCAAAACAATGAGTTAACTTCCATTCAAAAGTTTCATTATCTGTTGAGTATTTTAGAACAGGAACCTCTAAATTTAATAAAACATTTAAGCATTACATTATGCGGTTGCATGTACTATTTTACATGAACGTTATGGAAATAAGCGCTTGATAGCAGATTAATACTTAGAATAATTACTTTCTATTTCATGTCCTAACCTCAAAAATCTAGAACGTTTTATTAACACTTTGAAAGAGAATACACAAGCTTTAAATTCACTTGGGTTTGATGAATAGACATCCGTGGAGTTTTCTATCATCATATAACAATCTAAAAAATACCTTTGGAATTTACTTTGCAACAAAATCAAATACCTGATTATACTAAAAATCAGGCAAAATTTAATATCTCGCCCAAAATGATTAACACCAGGAATCAAAACATGCTGTAAAAAGAAAAGAATTTTACTGTGGAAATATAGAACTAACAAAAACACAAACAATCAAGATATTTTCCAACAATACGCAAAGAGGCTTAGAACCATAATTAAACTAACACAAAAAGCAAAAAACAACCACTTAATTACATCATCTAAAAATAAATCTAAAGCGACTTGGCAAGTCATAAACAACAAGAGAAAACACCTCCCCTGTGACGAAATATCTAAGATAAGAATAAATAATAAAATAATAAATGATCCTAAAACAATCGTATCTGCTTTTAATGACTATTTTATTGACCAAATTAAAGATGATTCCAATCAAAACAAAAATTGGACATGCAAAACTATTAAAAATCAATGCAATTCTGTGTTTATTAACCCTACAAATTCTAGTGAAATTTTAAAAATAATAACAAAACTGAATAATTCAAATAGTGCGGGCTATGATGGCATAATAACAAAAGTTGTGAAAGAAGTGGCAGAAATTATTGCTCCTGTAATTAGTTACATAACAAATTTATGTATAGAACAGGGAATATTTCCCGATAGGCTTAAAATATCAACAATTAAACCAATTTTCAAAAAGCATAGTGAGGAAGAAATGAATTCTTATAGGCCGATAGCTTTGTTACCCATTTTTTCTAAAATATTGGAAAAGGTAATTTATGGAGCTATCTATAATTTTCTTGAATCACATAACATATTAGCAAACCAACAAATGGGATTCAGGAAGAGTAAAACTATAAATATGGCGATATTCAATTTTTTGCAAAAAGTAACGAAGAGTATGGATGCCAGAGTTCGTGCGACGGCGCTCTTCATGGATATGAGCAAAGCTTTTGATCACGTTAATCATAGGATCTTATTATCTAAGTTATATCAATATGGAATCCGCGGTAATATACACAAACTAATAGAGTCATATTTATCTAATCGACGACAAATAACACAACTTAAAAAAATCTGTCAAAGGACTAGAACAGAAGTTGTATATTCATCTAAATCAGATATAATTATCCCTTTGGCGTGCCTCAAGGCAGTGTGCTGGGACCCCTATTATTTTTGATATATATTAACGACATGCCCAATATAACTAATCATGACATGACTTTGTTTGCAGATGATAGTACTCTTCTATTCATAGGTAATAGTGACGTAGGTGATCATGAAAATGAAATAAATATGACATTAAAGTTAATTATTCAGTGGTTAAATTATAACGATCTTAAAATAAATCTAGAAAAAACTCAATTTATGAATTTCCGACAAAGGACTAACAAATTCTTTGACTTAAACATTAACTATGCTGGTACACAAATAAAAGAATCAGATGTTGCAAAATTTCTGGGTTTGTATATTGATAAAAGGATGACTTGGAAAACACACACTGAACATGTTTGCAAAAAGTTGTCCCAGTATTCTTGTGCACTGTACAAACTTAGTAGGATCGCGAATCAGTGCACGGTCCTTACAGCTTATCACGCGTACGTAGTTTCTACTGTTCGATACGGCATTATATTTTGGGGATATTCGACTGATTCTGTAACTGCCTTTAGAGCCCAGAAAAAATGTGTTAGGAGCATGTGTCACTTACAGAGTACGGATACCTGTAGGCCATATTTTATTAAACTAAATATTATGACCCGGCCATCAATCTATATATTCGAAGTTGGTATTTTTGTCAAACAGAATCAACAACTGTTTGAAAATAAGACGAGATTGCGTCATCGAGACAAATTGTGTACAATACCCTCTAAGACAGCACTGTTGAACAAAAGTATATTTTGTATGGCTCCAAAAATTTTTAATAAAATACCAAAAACAATACGTAATCTGGATAATTGTAATGTTTTTAAAAGAAAAACTTGTAAATTGTTAGTAGCTAAGCATATTATAGTGTAAACGAGTATCTAGCTGACAGTACTTTGTAAATGTATAAATACTTAATGAATTAATTGATTTTTTTGACATAACATGTTATTGATTAGATTAGTTGATAATTACTAACCTACTAATATTGTATGCCTTTTAGGCAGATCACGGTGTAACTATTCAGTCCTTGCATCCAATATCTTTATATAACCTGTGATCAACAATAAACATTTTTAGAAAATCATTTAATAGTTTTGAAAGTTACGAATATTGCATATTCAAATAGTAATGAAAAATCATTAATTGTTAATCGTAGTAGTATGTATCTACTATAACTTGTCAATGCTGTGGTGGCAACCATGGTGTATACCATTATTCAGAATTTGAAAAATCAAAGATAAGAAAATAAATATTCTATAAAGGAAGCTTTGTTTCAATTGTTTAAGGCCTCACTGTGTCACAGTGTATATCCAAAAGCACTTGTCAAATGTGTAATTTACGTCATAATACCAAATTACATAATGATTTAAGTAACTCAGCAAATTCAAATGTGAAATCTATAATCTATGAGACAGGTCTTGTTCAACGTGGAACCATTGTCCCTTGGCTTGTTAGGTACTTTTGGAATTCAAAACATTGGTGGTCATGTACATGTTGTTCGTGCGTTGATAGATCCTGGTGCTTAATCATCTCTTATGACTGATTTGTTCGGTGTTGGTCAATATCGACAGTCTTCCCATGGCAGGGTAGATTTTAACGTTGTGTCTCTCACAAGAGATTCCGTTCCTGGTTTGTCCACTGAAGCCATCATACTTAAGCGCGTCACTAGATATCAACCTGCAGCAATGGTCAATCCAATAGTGCCAGAGAAATGTAACGACCTTCAGCTTGCTGACAAGACTTTCAACATTCCGGGTAGAATTGACCTACTTTTGGGTGTTAATCTTTTTAGTGACTTTTTGTGGTCTAAAGTTAAATGTATCTTTGTCATAACAATATTCAAACAATATTGTCGCAAACTTGAAACTTCATATTTAACATAACAATATTGCAGCGACATTGTTACAAACTTGCCTCGTATAGATGGTAACCCATCCGAACGGGATTTCTGAGATTTTTGTAGATCAGTTTTCTAGTGTTTTTGAAACCGCAAGTGTACAAGGAAAATTATTATTACTGCTACCGTAGTATTTTATATTCAACAATCAAAAATTTCTTATGAAAAGACTGTATAAAACCCATCCTATGAACTTCCCAACTTTTAAGTCGTTTCACAGAGCCTCTGGGAACCACGGTCATAAATAAGGCCCAGACCCCAGCTTCGTCCTTCCCGTTTCCTTTAGAGCCTCTGGGGACCACGGTCTTATGCAAGACCCAGACCCCAGCATCGACCTTTCCCCATCTCCTTCAAAGCCTCTGTGGACCACGGCGTACAGGACCGCTCATGACAACAGCATCATCCTTGTTACGAGTACAATAATCAATGCAAGTATGCGTGGAGCATTTGCATTGACCAAATATACTTGATAAAAAGCTCATTTTCCTATAAAATTTCTATTCGTTAATAATTTACATGTGTTAACCTAACTACTGTTTTTATAACAATTGTGAAATAATACCCGTTGGTAATAAATTTAATGTTTAAGAACTGATGGTCGAAATCTAGTTCAAATCAAAATTCCGAAATGACTAGATTAACAGACACCTAGCTCAGAAAAGCTCTTCTATTTTGTTACAGGAACGCGACTGGCGCAGAGCACACACCGTCTCCCAGAATGGCCTTGTCGCATCATCTTTACGAAGATCGTTTGATTTAGTTTCTTTTAATTGCTAGTTCCTCGATTGTAGAGAGAGAGTGATCATCGATACCGTAGACAGAGAAAGCAATAGACTATTGGTATGTTCTATCTCATTCATCGGGAAATAAAATGACTTATTACAATTTTCATTAGTTAAAGTGAGACAAAAATATTATTTGTTGTCCTTATCGACGTGCCGGTTTTTTTGTTTGGCACCAGGCTTGTTTGGCACCAAAACGTCAAGATTTTAGGCATAGAAATTGTTGGACTCAAATATATACAAAAAAAGTTGGAAAGAAGTGTATTTAAACAATGTTTTATATAATGTATAAAGTTTATATGTAAGAAACGTTACTTGCAAATTAAAATAATGGTTAAGTGCAGTGTTATATCTTGCAAAAATAGATCCGAAAGAAATATTGTAGGTCTATCATATTTCAGGTAAGTTAGAAGAATTTTGTTTATTTCTTCGTAAGGTAAAATTTTTCAATGGCATAACCGATGTGAATTTTATTAAATACGACACAAAACAAGCTAAATATATTATTAAATAAGTCGAATAAGAATATAACCTCAAATCATTAAGGCTGACATCTAAGTGCTTAAAATCTCCCCTCAAAGTGCTTTAAAATTAAATTATCAATATTCTGTTAAACAAATATCAAAATGTTTGAAACTCAACTATTTTCAAAGTACATAGAACTACAAAATGGGATTTAAAAAAACAATTGGGCAGTTTTTAAACTTTGTATTAAAATAAATCCAAGTTTGTAACCTAAAATATTAGCATTTAAAGCCTTTCAGTAAAGTTTTGCATGATACTATTAAAATACCGCTTAATTTACTGTAATGTAATGTTAAATTACATTTTCTAGACTTAATTGAATATCATTTCTGTATTTAGAATCACTAAAAATTGTGCTATGTATTTGGTTAGAAATGTTTGAGTTTATAGTAGATAATATAACTAATTTTATCAATAAATCTCGGCCAAATGTGTTTTTTCTTCATAAAATATTGTTATTCCATATGACAATCATATTATTATCATAATGATGACCTCAATTTTCCAAATTAAAAATTGATATTAAAAAAAAAGTGTTTTAGTAATTGTGTTTATATTTTAGATTTTCATCACATGAACATGAACTTCAAAATTGATTGATAAATGAAACTGAACTTCAAAATTGGATTGAAGCTTGCGGAAGACCAAATTGTAAGCCTTCAAGACATGCCAGGGTGTGTTCAATGCATTTTGAAAAACATTTATTTTTAAATGTAGGAAGACAAACAACATTGAGTACATAATAAGGATTTTATTAAATAGATATAATAGTTAAATACTTATTATACAAGTGAGATATTTTTGTTTCTTAATAAATCCACTTTTATAATACCTTCCTCAAAGGGATATACACAATGTAACAATAGGAATGGTAAGTATAGAAAAGTCTGAAACTATAAGATATTGTATGTTAGTATTATTTTGTTGGTTTCATACAATATTAATTAACCATGTAAAACCTTTTTAGATTGAGAATCTAAACTGGACTTTTTGAAAAATAAAATATACATAATTTATACTAGATACTGATAGTCTAAGTTTTAAACTTTTAATGTTATTATTAAATAAGAATTGCCTTCATTAAAAATTAATCCTATATCTCTATACTTGCTAGGAAATTTTAAATACTATGTCAGTTTAAATATTGATTTGTTCGTGGAGTTATAGTTTTTTTGCACTTGTTAAGTAATTTTTATTTACCATGCCATAATTGTTGTATAAAAATATGAGATGTTCATAATTTAGTCGCATATCGGTTATTAGTGTTGTGTAGACAGAACCACAGATCATATTCTTCATAAATATTATAACTTATTTGTGCCATAATCTAATCTTCAAATATTATCTGTGCTATCCTTTTAGAAATACACTGATTATGATTTGTTTGTATCTTTATAATAAAGAAATGCTAGAAAATATATTGTGAAATAATATTGGTTATTATGTTTTTTAAGAATTCTTATCTATGATTTAAGAGTAGGTATTGTAAGCTCACTAAAATATGTTTTTTTTATTTTGTATTAAAATATAATAATAATGTATCATTTTACTGTATATTAACATTCATTTTCATATTTTTAAAAATCTTTTGTGTGATAAGAATTCACTGTAACAAAGAAAATTGTGCTCTAATTTGTGATTGGATAACCAAATAAAAGCCAATTTTAATTTATAATAGTATGTATTAAGAATTCAAATTTTGTTTAATGGCTTTTAAATATATTTAACATTATATAGTATTAATTGTATTAGGCGAATACTTATTTAGATTAATTACTCTGGTGTACTTGCTGCAGTTAAGTAGACAATTTATTTACTTTTTGTGATCGAGTAAGTTTATTTTAACTTATAAGTAGCATAATTGCTATTTTCAATATGTGATTAATACATGTGATATATCTAATTATTTGTAAAATTTTTGTGGAAACGAAGTAAAATGCTTTTTATTTTAGTACCCTCTTTGATTTCACCCAACCTGTAACTTTATTTAATATTGGTTTAGTAATTGATAATTATTTTCATTATAATTATTAATTGATTTTTCTAATAAGTCATAGCTCTTAATAAATCACACACACTCAACAGCGTACATCGGCAGAATAGATTAAAATAGGTCTGCAGGTGTAATGATTTACACTAATTTTTATTATAAAAAAACCAAAAATGTTGAAAATTAACTTTCCTTTATTGTCTGGGGTCTGGGAGTTCTGAGTATTATGGTACCTTTGTTGTCACAGATACTCCAAAATACGGGGTTTAGTACTCCAAAATATACATCTTACAATATGAGCCATGTATGTGATGTTGAATGTTTATTTATCTATACTTAATATTATAAAAATTAAAGGTTTTATTGTTTATTTTTTACACCGAATAGGCTCCGAAACCACTGGACCGATTATTATATTTGATCAATCTCAAACTACCAGGGACAAAGTGGTTTTTAAGCATTTTTATTAAGATTACTGAACCGATTTTAAAAACTCTTTCACATACGGGTAGCTACACCATACGCAGTTGACATAGGCTACAGTTTACACAAGCGATGTCGCGTGACAATAGCTATTTTATAGATATTCTAGTTTGAGATAAGAAATCTTCTGGGACTGGTTCTAGAATTTGAGTGAAGTATCGTGGTGGACTAACGAAAACCGTCAAGTCTCTTTATGAAATCGACCAGGATAACGGATACGACGGCAGTGGTGCACAAACGCTCATACCTCGAAAACACTAATACGTGCTCTGCTAATACTGTCTTGAAGTAATGAAATCCAGAATCTGATTAATTACTGATCAAAGTCAAATATCTCTGCAGGCTTACATATTTGTTTTCGATCAATAATTATTAAGATTCTGGATATCTATTTATTAGTATTTCGTAACTAAATATGAGACTAAAATATTCGATTGGATTAGTCAGAATGATAAAATACTTTGTGGTTACTAAGATCTACTAAATATCAACCTGTGTCAATAGTTTCAATGTTTTATTTCATTCTAAAATAACCTAAGGTTTTAAAAAATGGTCTTTCTAACAGCTATTGAGTAAACATACAGTGGCGCTGCTGGACTGACGTTAGCCCAACATCATCACAATGTTTCTTATTTGCCTTTCTAAACATAATTTTATAATTGAATAGGTACGTTATTCTCCTTTAAACGGTTTTCTTTATTGTCTATAGATATATTTTTTAATTTTGGTTGAATTAAATTTTCGAAATAGTTTTGTTTGTTTAAATTAAGACTTTTTTGAGCATATTCTAATTTAGTAAAATTTAATTTTATTTCGAAAACTTCAGCAACCAAGCCCATTGATTCAATGTGCTAGTTAATTTAAGATGATAGATAGTGTATCAATATTTCTACAAAAAAAAGTTCCTCTATTACTAATCCTTTCATCCATGGGAAGTTACATCATACGTGGTTGACTACAGCTATAATTTGGTGAAATCGACAGACAAGTAGATTTAGTTTCTAAACATTTATTTCGATATCTGGAGCTAGAGCATTGAATTTAATAATCATAAATTATTTTTCATATTTATTATCCAGAATTCTCATATAGCATAGCTCGTAATTTTATGGAGATGCTCATAGAAAGAGAACACTTTAGAAGTGAACGGCTTAGTGTGAAAGTTCCTTGGCTGTTTGTATAATACTCTCAGCCTTTTAGATGAAAAATACAATCAAATGTCAATGTCAAAGTAAAAAGAATTGAAGTTACGCTTATTATGGAGAAGTAGTGTTTTCAATAAAAATAGTAATTACGTAAGAAGAAAACCAGCTTCTTCATCAATAATAATGTCTTTTTTCTTTAAACGCACCTTAGGTGCAACCACGAATTTAGGGCGCTACATTTTGAAAAGTAATACATCTCCTTTTCTTCAACGTATAGCTACAAAAACTGATCAAGCAGCCACCCAAGTTGAGACTCGTCCTACAGTGGCTAAAATTGATCCTTTACAAAAAGCTCACCTTGTTGATTTTGGTAAATACATCGCAGAGTGCATGCCTAAATACGTACAGAAAGTACAACTGACTGCAGGCAATGAACTCGAGATTCTTATTCCCACGGAAGGAGTTATACCAGTACTGCAGTTTTTAAAAGATCACCACAGCGCGCAATTCGCCAATCTTGTTGATATCGCTGGTATGGACGTACCCTCAAGACCCAATAGATTCGAAATTATTTACAATTTATTATCCTTGCGGTATAATGCTAGAATTAGAGTGAAAACATATACTGACGAACTTACACCTGTAGATTCAGCATGTGACGTATTCAAAGCTGCTAACTGGTACGAAAGGGAGATTTGGGATATGTATGGGGTATTCTTTGCTAATCATCCAGATTTAAGAAGAATCTTAACAGACTATGGTTTTGAGGGCCATCCCTTCAGAAAAGATTTCCCATTAAGTGGTTATGTAGAGGTACGTTATGATGATGAGCAGAAGCGTGTGGTGGTGGAACCTTTAGAACTGGCACAAGAATTCCGTAGATTTGAACTGAGTGCTCCCTGGGAACAGTTCCCTAACTTCAGGAGCAACCCTGCTGCAGAGGAGGTCACTACTTCATCAGAGGAAAATCCTAAACAAAATTAGGATTTATATAGTAACTCTTTATGTTGTACAAAATATACAATAGCAATACTTTAAATTAAGTAAGTGCAAATCTTACAACAGAATGTGCATTGTGTCTTTAAAAGCTTAATCATGTACTTCAGAAATAAATTCAAAAATTGACACATTAAAACTCATTTCTTATTAATTTCCTGCAGAGCAATTCTGTAAAATTCCAATCCCAAATTCAAATTCACTCATTCACGTCATTTAGTGAAGAAAATTAGTTGATTCCATTTTTTTTTAACTCTTTTTAAAAAAATACGGCCAGATTAGCCATGTAGCAAAAGTGGCAAATACTAGGGGTCCCACACAATTGGGAGCCAAATTTTTCAAGTCAGTGTTAAATAATACAAAAATTAAAATAAGCCACACTACGGCTATTAATTGCTATGGGACCCGTCTCTCCTAATTCGGCACTACATATCATAGATATTCTATAAATAACATAGCCATTTAAAAACTCATTTCATTTAAGCCACAAAACAATTGCCAATTCAAGGTTGAGCGGATGCCGCTTTTGATTCAACCACCTGAACGAATTCAAATTTACAGAATTGCAGGGCTGAGCCTATTTAAGTAGGTATATTTAGGAGAATATTATTATGGTTAAAAACATTGTTCTTAACAATTTATATCTTTAAAATATTTATTTCTAAGAACAATGATTTTTATTTCCTTTTCACCTTCAATTTCCATTTTGCACTTGATTGATTTTAGTAAAACATCTATACTCATTAGTATCATAAAGAGGAAGGATGTGATAGTTTTTTTGCATCCAATGGGCTCTGAAACTATCTAAAAATTCTTTCAACTGTGGGTAGCTACATGGTGTGCGGTGAACATAGGCTATATTTATCCCAAAATCAGCAGACAAACAGCTAGTTGCACAAAAGTTCATTACAATTTACATTAGTTTAAAATGACATTACCCATACAAATGACATCCATTAAAGCTTAAAGGCATCATTAAATCATAATGGACATTTGTGCAACTGAGCAAAAGTGATGAAAATGGGAGTGGAAGCTTTTTTTAAAATCATGGCCTTGTTCCGTTATATCCAGAAATTCTGCCAGAGTGGAAGCTTGTAAAGGGAATTAAAACGTCTCCATAGTAACCATTGTTTATTATTCTAACTGCAATTAATGAGGACATCAAGTAATAAAGTTTAATGTTCAACATTTTATAATTCCATAATGTATGCCGACTAGCGGCGGTAGCGGTAGCGCTTGAAGTGGAACCAGAGCTGGAAGATGTTGTTGTGGAAGTGGCACCTGAAGCCGCGCTTGTACGAGTACTCCCACTCGCGGTTCACGATCTTGAACGCGATGTCCTCGTACGGGGGACCCGCGTGGAAACGTAGCACTGCGAAATCCGGGTTCTCCGGACAGGCTTTCTGATAATTAACAAAAAATTACCCCATTTACAAGCATGTTTATGAAAATTTTTAGATATTAATTTTACGTTATCACATTCATAAGACGAGATCTCATAAAAACGAATGGTATACCAGAGAGAACTCCGGCGTGGCATTCTTGTCTATCAGGTCCGGGTAGAAAATGTTGAACTTGTACCCCTGTACTATCTTCGGCGGCGGATTGTCCATGTCGTAGTGAGTCTGGTTGTACTTGTTCCATTCGAAGCCGGTATGTACTCTGCGGACACGTACAGTTTAATATTATTTAAATGTTAATATTAGCAACAGTGCCCCTGGACGGTGCAACCGGCCATAGGTGCGGCCGGCAGGGACAGAGCGACGACAGGACACGGCGGCTGGAGATCAATGGGATAATTGTCTAATTTCAAAATTTATCGCAACATTTGACCTAATGAACAATGATCATTTGAATAATCAAGATATATAATAAAAACTCCGTTTCATCGGTAATTCATTCACATCGCGGAGCCGACATGACATTTCGATCGATTAACTAAAGATACTAAACACAAAATAAAATAAATAAAAAATTTATCACCACAATCTTTTAAAATTAAAAGATTCTCACTCATTCCTCGGTCGCACTCCGTTTGTAATTTATAAAAACACCTAAATTCACACAACAATAATCGAACGACGTCCGGCTCGGCGACAGAATCGCGGCCGCCGCAGAGGAGTCTGCGAAAGATAAGAGGAATCTCGACGCGGGGAAGGGAACTCCGAAACCGATCGCACAAAATTGTCGATACGCGGTATCGCGGAAAGTGACCACAGGTACCTGTTGAAGTACCGCGGCTTGCGCGGGCGGTACTTGTCGGCCCACAGCGGCGGCCGCTCCGCCGCGGGCAGCGCGTGCTCCACGCTGAACTGCGCGTGCGAGCCCGCCCCCGCCCCCTCCCCCCCGGCCGGCCCCTCCCCCGCGCCCGCCGCGTCCAGCGCCCGGCGCGCCTCTCGCTCCAGCGCGTCCGTCCCGCTCGCGCCGGCCCCGCCCTCCGCGCGACCCTCCTGCGGGGAATGCGACAGCGACAGTGAAGTGGAAAGTACGTATTGAGGAGGTCGCCATTTGAAATGTAAGGTGCTGACCGTGGCGCCCCCCGCGCGGGCGGCGTGCAGCGCCTGCCGCAGGTACGCGAGGCGCTGCTCGTCCTCCGCCGCGTCCGTGAGCAGCGTGCCCGCCTCCAGCCCCCCCTCCCCCGGCGCCAGCAGCGCGGGCGAGTAGCGGCCCGCCAGGTAGGCCGCCACGCCCTCCTCCGCCTCCCCCTCCTCGTCCGACCCCTCCCCCTGCCCCGCGTCCGCGCCGGGGCCCGCCCGCGCGAGCTCCTCCTCCTCGGCTTTGACGTTCTCCTCGGCCGCCGACGACCTGAATCGACTCGATCACTATATACGCATGCGAACGATCTACCTCTCCGGGAAGATCGACGAGCGAGATCCGATGCGATGATGGACGAATTCGATTCCACATATAGACGAAGCCCGGGCCTCGGCGGGCTCCGGTGAAGCACGATAAGAATAATTTATTTCAAAATAAATCTTAAGCTCCGCTCGAATATAAGAAATAATATGGGAGCTTTCACGGATTACTCGGCGAACGCTATGGAAGATAACCGTCGAGTAGAAGTCGTTTATACCGATGTCTCTAATCTAAGGCGTTCGACAAAATTAAACACTCTTACAAAAGCTCTCGATGCTCGGTATCCTCATAGCGATTTACTTAGACGGGTGGAATCTTATATTACGAATCGAAGTCTAGCTCTAATGTCATACCGGTCAGACTATCTGTGTGTCCTCTCAGGAATTCCTCAGGACTCTTCTTCCTGTTTTCGTTTTATATAAATGACATTTATGAAGTAATAAAATATTCAAATAAGACGACACGAAACTTTTCAAAATTATCGAGTCTAATGAAGATCGTGTTCGACTTCAAGCGGATGTAGATACTCTTTTACCATACTGTTTCGTGCGACAGTCGACTTTATTTTAATCGTAACAAATGTTAAATTATATAATGCAGTTTAACGGATGAACACTGAGTAGTGTTTTAGGTCAAAACGAGCGCTGCATGCCCCTATTTTGTAACTAAATCTGCTCAAAAATAGCTTACGGCACTCGATTTGTTTGTTACGTTATTAAACTTAATTTAAATATGATGACAAGATAAAATTGTTTGCGGCGACGTACCGCGCGGGCGAGGCGGGGGCGGCGGCGGCGGTGGGGGCGGGGGCGGTGGCGGGGGGCGGCTGCACGCCCTGCTCCCGCTTGAGCAGCTGCAGCTTGCGGCGCAGGTTGTGCTGGTGGCGGTCGCGCAGGCGGGCGCGCGCGCGGTGCGCTGCACACAACCACACCTCGCGTTACACGCACGCACACACACACGCGCACGGACTCATTCGACGGCGAGCAGAGCATACCCTTGAGCTGGCTGAGCAGGCTCTCCCAGTAGCCGACGTCGACGCCGTCGCGGCGGCCGCTGATCTTGCGCTCGATCTGCGCCTGCAGCGCCTCCAGCTGCGCGCCCGACTTGCCCTTGAATATCTGTGGCACAGAACGCGTAGAAAAAACAGGGGCCCGGGACCGAAATCACTCGTTATTTTTTTCCTAAAACCCGTAATGCTCGTTCCGAATGTCGATTGGTAAAAATTCTTCCGGCGAGAACGCGGATCGATGTTTATTTATTATTAATCGAGGGACGCCTCCGGGGAGGTCGTCGGGGCACCTGCGTGACGTCATCGGCGACGGCCTGGTGGACGCCGTCGCGGCGCGCGTCGGGCCCGGCCAGGCGGCGCAGCTTGGCCAGCTCGTCCAGCACGATGGTCTGCACGTCCTCCCAGTACGCCTGGTTGTGGGAGCTCTCCAGCTCCTTGTACACCTGCGGACGCACAAGCACCCGTACACTACTCCCCGTCTTGCGGATTCTCTAGGCGTGCATTCCGGATTCGGTCTTTCCGAACCTTGATATCTTCGAGCAGGTCCTCCAGGTCCCGGACCTGTAGTCCGTTGAGGTACGTGTAGGGCTCGTGCATCTCCAGCGCGTCCACGCATTCCTCCGAACTCACGTACCACGCCAGAAGGTCGATAGGTTTCGCTGGGGGACAAAATTTGAAATTACACGAATGTCGTCTCGGATCCTCCGCACTCTATAAGTCCGAGCCGAATTAGATGTTACCCCTGGAGTCCCGGATGCGGATCTGCGAGCGCAGCCGCGCCTGGTGCAGATGGAAGGCGTCCTCCTGGCGCGCCCAGGAGCTGAACTGCGCCGCCTCGCGCGCCCTCGCCGCCGCCGCCGCCTCGGCCTCGCGCGCCGCGCGCTCCGCCTCGCGCTCCAGCCGCCGCTGCTTCACCTGCACGCGCCCCGCTCTATACATCGACCTTCCGACGCTTGCACGGTTGTTTAAATTCAAGTTGTTTACATTGAACGGTGAATTATCGTTACCGGTTCCCGCTCGTTTCGAATTGGCCCAGTGTTTGCGTGTACGATTACACTAATATCGCGCAGTAGAATTTGCTAAAGTACTACTTAATTTAGGGAAGTTGACAACCTTAGCGCGACCGCCGAGCGTAGGTATGGAAAATGAAGTACAGTAGAATCCCGATTATACGGATCAATTAAAGTCAATGGTATTTCCATTTAATCGAAAATCCGGGGAATCGAGTACAAAATCAAATTAAATAATATTGTATGTTTTTATTTTGATAAAGGCTTTACATTTGTTGTTTAGATAAACGATGTATTAAAAAAAAAGCTATAACAAAAATGAATTACATAATACCTATGTTATTTTAAATTTTAATTAGAAATAACTTTTCATTGATTTTTGACATAATAAATAAATCATTTCTTTTCATTGTGGCCAAGTCACAGGACTAAACTCAAATCTGAAAAGCGACATCTAAAGCTACAAAAAGTTCTGCGTGAGATAGTACTTTACATACAGACCCAGTTACAGTTTCCTCTAAACTTTCTTTCTCGTTTCTATTGAAGTAATATTATTTTATAGACGTTTCAGTTCGAGATGAAAAACAATGTATCACTTGAACGCTATCAAAGAAAATGAAACAATAGCAAACAATATACAGTATTCAAATAAGCGCAAAATTACACCATCGAAAAAGGGAATAAACTTGTAGTTAAAACGTACAATTTCTCGTTGCGCCGTAAAAACGTTTTTAAATTGACTATTAGAGCTAAGATGGAAAAGTCGATGTTCAGATAATCAGGATTCTACTGTACGTACGTTTGATTACCTTCTGGTATATTCTGGACCTCATCAAAACCCCATGCACGCCATCTATTCATATACTCGTACTCAAATAAATCACTCTCATTTAAATGCTGGACTTAAAGGAAATTTAAAAACAGACCTAAACCGAGTGACTCCATTGTTATTGTTAATTTTATAACGTTATGACCACATTTATTTTAAGCTTATCTTACGATATTGTTCATACCTTCTCCAACTCGATTTTGTTTTCCAACTGCTTCTGTCTATTCAATGCTTCCAATTCCTCCCTTGACACAGTCTTTACCCCCTCCTTTGCCAGTTTCTTGGTCCACACAAATGTGTTAGTCAGAGCGGAGTCTCCAAACGGATTGTCTTGATTAGTATAGCATTGATACTCGTTGTCCCAACCCATTCTCTCTCGTCGTTTCCTTTCTTTCTCTTGTTTTTCTTTGAGACGACGTGCTCTATACAAATATTAGTAGATTATGTCAGTGCAAACTTGAGAGTTTAAAACTGAACAATTTAATTAAACTTGTAGCCATTATTATTAAATTATTATGTCATCATTATAAGATCATAGTTTTTCTCTCTCTCTCTATTTATAATGTATTGATCTGGTAATGACATGATTTTTGTGAATGTCATTACTCCTATTAGAGCTGATGAGGTTCTTGCTTGTTTTTCTTATCAGCCAAAAGACATCCTGAATGAGTGACGATCCTATATACCATATACTAGAGATGCGCCGAGTACTGGTTTAACTCTCGTAACAAATAGTGTCTCGTTACAATAACTTTTACCAAACTAATTATTTTATTTGCTTTACCATTTCATTATTTTTATTTAGCCAGAGTGTTTCTAAGTACCCCTTCTAATATAGTGACCAATTATATCATAAGCAGAAAACCTATATGAAGAAAAACCTAACAGACTTGCTGCAGAGAGCAGAAAGCTTGGTGTTTCTGCATCATAATGTACTGTACTAGAAAATATTCTTAATGAAAAAAGAAAAATGCTTAAAATTGTACCAGCCCCTACTCCAAGTACTCTGAGATGGGACTCGAACCCACAACCATTTGCAATGCAGGTGACTGCTCTAACAACTGGGCTACCAGGTTACAGGACTGATGAATTTTTAAGCACTTGTTACATTTCGCTACTAGAGAGTATATTCACATCTATATTCATGCAATCTACCTAAACAGCCAAAAGAAACATTTAAAACTTTTGATTAAAATAAAAATTAGTTCTAATAATTATAGGCATTTGATCAATTTTATGTTTACAATCCTATACTAGAAAATATTCTTATTTTCCAGTAACAAATTGTATATGAAAAATTATATCGGGTTAAAGTCCGACCTCAGAGAACCTGGGGCTAGTTGATTTTTTGAGCATTTTTCATTATAAATATTTATGACTTTCATTGCTTTATTTAACACTTTTATAACCAGATATAACTCTGATACTGATCCCTACTCATTAGGGAGCGACTAAGAAAGAGAGCGAGACATAAATACCAAATATTATAGGGATCAACAAACTAAAAGTATATACATGTTATTTGCATTGGTAGTTTTCTAAACCAATATGTGACACATTTAAAGATTGGTAAACAATTGAATGGCCAAAGATAAATACCTTTTCTCCTCGGGTGTTTCATTAGCTTTCATCAATTCTTTTTGCTTCTTTTTTTCTTCCTTAAGACGGAGTCGCTCCGCCTCCAGCCTCTGAAGTAATTTCAATTCTTCTTCATCTGTATCACTGCTACTACTAGAGCTGCTACTAGATGAAGAATGTCTCTTCTTTTTCTTCTTATGTTTTTGCTTATTATCTTTCTTCTTTCTTTCCGCGCTGGAAGAGCTGTGTTTAGTCCTGGCTGGCGAATGCGTCCTTGATCTGCGTTTTGTGCTTCTGGTTCTATCGTCTCGTGGACGTTCTAATGATCTACTTTTAGACTGGTCGCGATAACGGTCTACTACACCTCTTGAGGACCTGTATGTAATTGGTCGCAGTTACCTTACGATTATCTAAGTTTAATTTAAAAATATGAAAAAGTAATAACAGGCAACATATACTTACATTTTAAATACCTAGCTAATTTGTTTATAAACAACTAACAAAATACACAATTTTTAAGTGTTTATAATATTTCGTGATGAAGCTCATTTTTCAAAGAATTTAAAAATAATTAAAGCAATCCAATCCTTTGATAATACAAAATATTAAGAAACGCTGGTAAAAAACATAACTATGCATATGAATGACACACGTCAACATAGGATTGTGCAAAAACTATTGATATATCAAAATATCGATATTTTTTCTAAAAAAACGATATAATTCAACGATATTTTTTCCCATGATATATCGATATTTATTTTCAGATATCAAATTCGTATCATAATCGATATATTTTTTAAAGTTTTGCTATCTGCTCATGCGTCACATCATGTATTTCTTAAATTTAGAAAAAAAGTAGGTAGGCAGTAGGCTGTATGAGTTTAGTCTATGACCTGCTTGTCTTTTTTGTTTGTCTATGACAATGACACTGCTTGTGGGTTTGGTTGGTATAGTATATCTGATATTGACATCAGGTACTGAGTGTGCTCCTGATGTCAATATCAGATAAATACTCGTTTGTTTAAATAATGTTACTTTTGTTGTGTTGATAATGTTGTTTTCTTGGCTTTATGTACCTATTGTAAATAATAAAACTGATGTCAAAACAGTTAGGTGTGTATTTGCTTCAAAATTTCGAATATTTTGAAAGTTTTCATTGATAATCGCTTATCACGGAGAAAATATCGATATATCTGAAATACATTTGAAATATATCGATACGACATATATTGATATTTTTCCCATTTTACCTATCCCTACGTCAACATAGACCTAGAAGTAGGGATGTATCTGAAATTGATTTATCGAATAATCAAAATTTCAAGGCAAAAAGTTTCGTGTTTCTTCTAATATCTAACTTTTAAATTAATTTTAATTTATTTCAATCGTAAATTTAAGTTATTTATTATGTTATGTGTAAAGGAGCGATGTTTGGTTTATATGTTAACATTAGTGATGAACCAACTTATTGGTGGATTCTGCCCTCGCGAGTGTTAGTTGTTACACGTGCTCAAGGGATTTCTTTATTTATTAGTGATTTATAGACTTTCTACGTGGTAGTACGGAATTAAGTGTTTGTCTTTTCTGTGTTCTGTTCTGTGTACTAACAACAGGTATAGGTAAGTACCTATTTATGTTCTCCTGTCCTTTCCACTGATTACAAAGTAATCAATGGAAAGGACTCCTCCCGATCCTCCGGATCCTCCGGACCGGCCCAACACACCTCTTTCAAACATGGAGTTTTCACCCCCATTATTCTCACAAACAGGAGTTAAGCGACGTAATGAGACTGAACCTGAGGTGATCAACTCACCTACTAAAAGAATAAGCACCGAAATTAATCAATCTGACACGTCGATTACCTCTCCCGGACTATATATTCATCCATCAGTAAGTCAAGGCTGCAAACGATACATAGATAGCGATAAAGGACCATTCATAGTTCATGTTTCAAAAATCGAGAATGATCCTTCATCAGGTATATCAATACATCCTATTAAATTTGGCCAATTTCTTGTTAAAAATAAGATTAAAAATATAGTCTGTGATGGTATTAAGAAAGTTGGACGTAATAGAATTGCAGTTGAATTTAAGACAAATATAGATGCAAATAATTTTTTAAATAACCCTTTCTTAACACTCCATAAATATACTGCACAGATCCCTAACTACAATATTACCCGTATGGGTATTGTCAAAGGTGTTCCTTCTGACCTCACAATGGAAGAGCTGGTAGATTCCCTAGTAATCCCTGTTAGTTGTGGTATAATTTTGAAGGCAAGACGGCTTAACAGAAAGACCATATTAGAAGGCAAAGTTACCTGGCTCCCAACTCAGACAGTAGTCCTTACGTTCCAAGGACAGGTCTTACCTAACAGAGTTTTTGTTTATCATACATCCTTGCCTGTTGAAACATACCAGCTCCCTACTATACAGTGTCTTAATTGCTGTAGATTTGGTCACATTAAAACACAATGCCGCTCAAAACCGCGCTGCTTCCGCTGTGCGCAACCACATACTGGTGCGTCCTGTGTTGTTGAGGAATCTAAAGCTACCTGCCTTTTTTGTTCGGGTTATCATTTTGCTACAAATAGGAGTTGCCTGGAACATTCTCGACAACAATCAATTAAAAAGCTTATGTCTCAGGATAACATATCATATCAGGAAGCCTCCCAAAGATTTCCTGCAGTTAAGAGGTCTTATGCTGAAATTGCTCAATCTTCACCGTCTACTCAGCACACATATGCTCCACAATCTCCGATATCTTCACCCAAGACCCCAGCAGGTATAATATCGTATAAAAAAACTGTAGTGCAACCTCATAAACCTAGGACTATATTGAACCCTGGGTATGATAGTCTGGCTCATCAGGCCATCATTCAAAACTCCCCCTCTTCCCTTCCAAATGGATGTGCTCTCAGCAATGAATGCCTACCAGAGTCTACAGATACTACTCCTAATGACAACTTATTAGAAACCCTTCTGACCTTCGTTTTTAGTCTTCTTAATAGATTTGATGACATCCCTGTACCGTCCAACGTTGCTAAAAAAATAAACCAACTTAATAAATTTATTTGTATCAATAAAAATGGCGAAGATAATACAATGGAACTGTAGTAGCATTTCTAGTAAAACTGCTGAATTACAATACTTAATAAACAAATTTTCTCCTTCTATCCTTGCTATGTCGGAGACATGGTTGGTGCCGGGTACAGTCTATGGCTTACCTGGGTACTCCTGTCTCCGGGATGACAGGGGAGATGGCTATGGAGGGAGTGCACTGTTTATCAGTTACTCCCTTCTCTTCAATAAAATTGACCTCCCACCCATCAGTGACTGCATTAATGCAGTAGCTGTGAAAGTTGTAAATACCACCTATCTTTCTGTGTATATACGTCCCAAATCGCCACCTAATATTGTTATAGAAGAACTGAAATCTATTATCATGTCTCTCTCGCCTCCTCTAATATTAATGGGCGATTTTAATGCACATCATGTGGTATGGGGTTCTGCTACAAATGACTCACTTGGTGTCCAAATAATTAACCTATTAGATGAGAGAGACCTTTGTTTAATGAACGACGGTAGTCCCACCAGAAGAACCCGTCCTGATCAAAATCCATCGGCAGTAGACATCACAATATGCACTCCCACACTGGCATCAAATATTTCTTGGAATATACTCCAAAGTACACATGGCAGTGACCACTTCCCTATTTTAATTTCAACCTTAGATAGTCTGCCTTCCATCAACCGTCCCCCTCCTTTACTTCAATTCCGACTGCAAAAAGCAAACTGGGCAGCCTATTTTAGGACACTGGAAGGTAATGCTGACACTCTCCCTGTGGTTACAATAGATAATGCTGACATGGCTTACGAAGCATTGGTCGAGTCTTTAATGGAAGCAGCAAATGTGAATTTTCCAAAAAAAAACTGTACACGGAAAAAATTATCACCCCCCTGGTGGGATTCGGAATGTACAGAAGCAATAAAAATGAGGAAAAATGCTGAAAAAAATTATAGAAATTCCATGACCATGGATAACTTTGTATCCTATCAAAGAATAGCTGCTCAAACTAAAAAGCTTCTAAAGATAAAGAAAAGGACGGGTTGGAATAGGTTCTGTGAAACATTGGCCCCGGGTACCCCCTCAACCATTGTGTGGAAACAGCTGCAAAAGTTTCGCAGATCACGTAATCGCTCCAATTTAACACATAATGATTCTTCAACTTGGATAGAAGCATTTGCTGACAAACTGGCTCCCCCATCAGCCCCAAATATTGATTGCCTACATATCAACACCAGTGTGATACTACCTTCCACAGGAATGCTAGATGGATTATTCTCGATTGAAGAGCTCCAAAAAGCACTTTCTGGCTTAAAGGACAGTTCTCCGGGCTTAGACGGGATTCCATATTCCTTTTTAGTTAGAGCTCCAGATAACATAAAATTATACTACCTAAAGTTAATTAACACCTTTTACGATAATGGTATCATCCCCGATCATTGGACTAAGCAAATAGTTATACCTATTTTAAAACCAGGCAAAAATCCATCTGAACACTCCTCTTATCGGCCTATAGCTCTCTCGTCTGTCCTACTAAAAATCGTCGAACATATGATGAAAAACCGTCTCGAATGGATTGTAGAAAGTCGCGACATGTTTGCCAAATCTCAATTCGGATTTAGAAAAGGTTTCAGTACAATAGATAATCTCAGCATCCTTACGACAGATATCCGCCTTTCGTTTGAGAAAAAAGAACAATTGGTAGGGGTATTTCTGGACATATCGTCCGCATATGATAATGTTCTTATTCCGGTGCTCAGGCAGAAAATGCAACAGCTGAACATTCCAGGGAAATTGGTCCATTTCATATGCAATTTGATATCATCCAGATCCATCTTAATAAGGTCCCAAGGTTACTCTCTAGCTAGGGTGGTGTGGAAAGGCCTACCACAAGGATCAGTTCTTAGCCCAATGCTTTATAACATATATACTTATGATATGGAACTCTCAGTGAACTCCTTCTGTCAGATTCTACAATACGCAGATGATGTAGCCCTTTATGTCCGAACGAAATCCATATCGGAAGCTTCATCACGACTAAACTCCGCTTTGTCCTATCTTGGCGACTGGTTGACGGACCATGGACTATCGATTTCCACATCAAAATCTAGTGCAGTAATCTTTACCAAAAAGCGAAACGTCCCTGTCCCGAACATTAAACTTCAGGATGTTCCCATTGTGATCAAACCCTCAGTTAAATTCCTAGGAATGATTCTGGACTCCAAATTAACGGGTACTGACCATTTTAATAATGTAGCAAACAAAACAGAAAAGAGCGTAAACATTTTGCGAGCGCTGTCTGGTGTTTGGTGGGGCGCTCATCCGGAAACTCAAAAAATATTGTATAACGCTATTGTGCGTAGCCATTTCGATTATGGTTCATTCCTCCTCGATCCCTGTAATAAAACAGCATTGGATAAAATAAATAAAATACAATCAAAGTGCCTTAGAATCATACTAGGAGCAATGAAATCCTCACCCATCAATGCCTTACAAATTGAAGGTGCTGACCCCCCTCTTTTCCTCCGTAGACAATTTCTCAGCGACAGATTTTTCTTGAAGGTTCTACAAAATAAAAACCACCCGTTGTTACATATACTATACAAAACAAATCATGTATCCAACACTAATATTAACGCTAATCGTCGCCAAAATGTCCCATGTATAATTACTAGTTATTTAAAATTTAGCCGTCCTTCAATAACCATCGAGAAATTTCCGTTTAATCCCTTATATTTAAATAGTTTCGAATCCTTAATTTTCGACCCGCCCATTTTACCTAGTTTAGACATTGCAAAACAGTCTCCCGGTGCTAACCAAGCCTTCAATAAAATAATTGCCGAAAATTGGCCACAGTGGCTCCTAATATTTACAGACGCATCAAAGCTCTCAGATAATGGCTGGGTCGGAGCTGCAGCATGGATACCCAAATTTAAAATAGTTCTAAGTTTTAAAATCCCACCACCATCGTCCGTATTCACAGGAGAGGCAATTGCAATACTGGAAGCCATCTTATACTGTGAATCACATAATCTAAACCAAACGATGATCCTATCCGACTCTCTTAGTTGTCTTCAGGCAATATCATCCAATCCTTTCCGGTCCAAATCCAGCTCCCCGATAATTTTGAAGATTAGAGAAGCTTTAATAAGATGCAAACAGAAAAATATAGAACTACTGTTGAGTTGGGTCCCGGGTCATAGTGGTATAAATGGCAACGAATCTGCGGACTCCTGTGCTCGGAGCGCAATCACTAGTGGTTCTACTGACTATTCCGACGTAACGTATCACGACCTCCTCCCCCTTACTCGTTCCCATTTGTTCCAGTCATGGGAAAACCACTGGAGATATACTAGAGATAAGACAGGTAAATACTATTTCGACATTCAACAAACTATTCCCAAAAAGCCTTGGTATTTGGTGCAAAAACATATCCCCAAGCAGGTTGTATCAATATTGTGTCGGCTCCGCATTGGGCATTCAAGTACACCAGTTCATTTAGCTAAAATTAGAGTCAGAGATAATTCACTTTGCGAGTGCGGCCTGGATGAAGGATCAGTGGACCACATTTTATTTGACTGTCCTAAACTTCTTTATTCCCTGTACGATGTTCTCCCACAAAATATCCCTCGACCCATAAATGTTAAAAGTATCCTCCAATTGGTTAATACACCCTTTATAAAAATATTAACTAGATTTATCCGTAATAATAAATTAAAATTATAATTTACCTCTACTAAAATATTATGTCTGTGTTATGTGGTGCGGGTACAAGTGTTGTGTTATGCATGCGATAAAATGTGTTGTGTTTTGTTTCAGGTTTGTTGGTATACAACATAGAAAGTGATAACCTTTTAATTTTATATAAAACCTTTTCCAAAATTCGTTGGGCGGAAATCCCTATCGTGTATTGGCTACTTACGTGAAATTGGCAGAATTGTACGAAAAGTGCAGACGATGATCGTACTTTTGTTGAATCTTATCGAGTAATCTTTGTTTTTGGAAGCCTTTTTTAAAATGGTACCATCATTTCTATTATGCAAAATACAATCATATAATGCACGACACACAAACATATCGATATTTCACATTAATAACCGATTCTTGATGAATCTGCATTTGATATTGTTCAACAGCATCCCTATTTAAAAGTCCGATGACATGTGTCTAAAGGATCTCTTAATTTAAGAAATGAAAAAAGTTTTCAGCTATAGTAAACATTATTGTTTTTAAATAAAAATCTAAACTATTTCTTCATGAAAATCTAAGAGACTGAAATAATATTTGATGGCCTGCTGAGTGAAGTGAGACTTTATTTAATAATTTAATTTTAATTCATCAGTCAATAAGCTTATTGTTTTAAAGAAACCAAAATGTCCTTCTTGCGAGGCTCTGAGAACTATGTCTGGTGTACAACAAGTGTGCTAGGAAAAGGGGCCACCGGTGCCGTTTTTCAGGGTGTGAATAAAAACAATGGAGAACCTGTTGCAGTGAAAACATTCAACCAACTCAGCCACATGAGACCTCATGATGTCCAAATGCGTGAGTTTGAAGTGTTGAAGAAAGTGAAACATGAGAATATTGTAAAATTATTAGCCATTGAAGAGGAACAAGAAGGTAGAGGGAAAGTAATTGTAATGGAACTGTGCACTGGCGGGAGCTTGTTCAATATTCTAGATGATCCTGAGAACACATATGGTTTGCAAGAGCAAGAGTTCCTTTTAGTCCTGGAACACTTGACTGCTGGAATGAAACATTTGAGAGATAACAACTTGGTACATAGAGACTTAAAGCCGGGTAACATAATGAAATACATAAATGAAGATGGCACAACAACATACAAGTTGACAGACTTTGGAGCTGCTAGAGAATTACAGGAAGAAGAACAATTTATGTCGCTGTATGGTACTGAAGAGTACTTACATCCTGATATGTATGAGAGAGCAGTATTAAGGAAACCAGTAGGCAAGAGTTTTGGTGCTACAGTAGATCTGTGGTCTATAGGAGTGACATTGTACCATGTGGCAACTGGACAACTACCATTCAGACCATATGGAGGCAGAAAGAACAAGGAAACCATGTTTTACATTACTACCAAGAAAGCATCTGGGGTTATATCTGTAAGCCATTTTAACTAAACAAAAATAGGCCATTCCTATAATACATAAAGGAAAGGCTATCATATGCTAGATTAAATTATTTTAATGATTTGTAACTTCAATGTTCATAATTTATTTTTAAATTTTCTGTGGCAGTGTTTATCTTTTGAATAAAATGATAATTATTGTGTTATTCCCATTAACAATAACAAAATTGGGTAACACCTTCATATTTCTGTATACATTCACATGTTTAGTGATAATTTTTCTTTTCTTTTATATATTACCATTATTTAAATGTTACTCTTATGGTCAGTTGCAAAAACATTCATTAAGGTTTAATGAAATCTTTAAGCTCAAATGAATGACAAATTTGTATGGGTAATGTCACTTAAGACTTTGTGCAACTGGCTGTCAGTCATAAAAGATGATGAAACATGAATTCTGCTCCAGGGAACTCAAACAACAGAAAATGGTCCTATAGAGTGGTCAAGGGAACTCCCAGCACATTGCCAACTGAGTGTGGGTCTTCGTAAGCTTGTGACTCCACTACTAGCAGGTCTGCTGGAGATGGACCCACACAGAATATGGAGTTTTGATCGCTTCTTCTCTGAGGTGCAGATAGCAACATCTACAACCCCTGTCCACATATTCCATGTGAATAAAGCATCCAGCTTAAAGGTAAGTGTATAGGTATAGTTAATTATATATTATTATTATTATGTCTTCATTCCAAATTTCTTGGTAGGCAGAGACGAGTTGATGAGTTATTTTTGATTGTCGACTCATTTTTATATGATTGCGCAAAAGTGGAGTGTGTAGTGTTTTGGATTGAAATACTTTACGTTTATGAATATATTGGGTATTATTTGAAACTGTACGTCATCCCAAGTAACACTGGCTACATATTTTATTAAAATATTGAATATGGTGGATGTATGACATTGGTTAAAAAAGTTAAAGAAGGTTAAAGAAGTTTTTTTTTATTGTAACAATATGGATATCAAATTAAAAGTCTTGATGAGTACATTCCAAAAATGTATAATTTGTTTACATAATTAACTACTTACTAAAAGGAATGAAATAAAAATAAATAAATCCTACAAATATTAGAAAGGCGAAAGTTTGTAGGTTTGAAAGTTTGTTACTTCTTCACGCAAAAACTACTGAACAGATTTAGATGAAATTTGTAATATAGGCTATTATTCATCTGGATTAACAAGTAGGCTACTTTTAATCCCGCTAAAAGGTGTCCTAGGGATAGAAGTACTTCTAACGGTGCCAATTTTTGTGAATGCTGCCTAAACGATAAGAGATATACCAAATAAAAGTTGGAGAGCTTTAAATTATGTATAAAGATATAAAAAAAACATAAAAGTGTATTTAAACAGAAATGTTTTTAAAAAAACATAAAAGTTTTTTATCCATCTCTACACTTTTATTAGAATAGGTGATATTCATTATTTGATTATCATCAAAGAAATTTAATGCAAATAAAAATTGTCTTTTACACCAAATCAATTGGATGAGTAATTTGGATTTTACTAAGACCTTTTAAGAAAGGAAAAAAACGCACCCTGCCCATTTTCTAAATACTATTTCATGTGTATGTATGTATTATGACTTAACAGTTTTTTTTACAAGTAATTATTCAATAACTTTTATATTTATAAGGACTATAGTAATGATACTATTATGTTTCAATGGCTAAGAGTGTTTAGTTACAAAGAACACCAATTCAAGGTGAGAATGCCAGATTCTTTGCCAGGCTTTTGTAATTGAATAAGTATTGAGAATCATCAACGACAACAACATTGGCTTCGATTTGATTGATATTGGATTGCACTCAATGTTCAATATATATTGTTATATTACATATGTAATATGTTCATAATATCAAGTAAACCACAATATCAATCTAATCAAAGCCAATTTTGTGACGCGGTAGGTCTGCTGGAAACCATAGCAACAGATCAGGGGAAATGTATGGACATTTTATTCGACACGATGTCTTCATTAAAACCTGGCTGTAAGAAAAATTAATCAAAGGACAAGTAAAATTATTATTGATACATTATCGAGAATCATTTAGAAACGCAAGGAAAGTTACGGTAATTGCGTTAAGTCAAATGTGATTCAACACTATCTCAGAAACTCGGAAGAGTAGGTACTTACAGCAGTGCATAGGTACTGGTACATATGTACATAGGTATATTCTGGCTCAAAAAGTAATAGAAATAAACACAAACTGTGTTATTCTCTATAAACGACATTGTCCTATCAAGTGCTAGTCGCACTTGTACATGGTGAATTCCGTACCGGAAACGAGTATAAAAATCAGTTTTTTTTTGTATGGGAATTCCCTTAAAATAATTTTTAGTATTGTTATTATAACGGCAACAGAAATACACCATCTGTGAAAATTTCAAATGTCTAACTAACTCATGAGAAACAGCCTGATGTCAGACAGACATTTCAAAATTGTAGTGTAGTATGTATTGGAGAGAAAATTATGTCTCAATGATTATTATTAATAAAAAAAACTGAAAGAGTGGTTCACCCTTAAACGACAATAAGGAAGTGCATTTCGATGTCGATATAATCCAAGTGAGGGCGGTTGTAAGACGCCCGTCACGCCACTCGCTTAGCGTTGTCACAGTACACATTTATAGGCAGTAAGAAACATTAAATTGTGTTTTAATTAATGCTGGTATATCTAAAATGTATTATAATTACATCAATAGTATATTACAACGAAGTCCTCCGTTACAGCACGGAATTTTATATCAGTAGGCCCATAAAGGTAAGAATGTAAAGGTAACACGATAGAAAAACCTCTAGATGAAATACACAATTTAATATTTTATATCAAAATAAAATATAAAATGATGAATTTTAATGTCAATTTTGTCATATATGTATACATTTAAGCTTTATTGTTTTAACAAAAGAATATCACAACAGTAGCTCGGTGGCGTAAGTGGATAAGCGCTCTTTGTTGTTAAGCAATCTCGAGCTACTCTGTGCTTCAGAAGGCACGTTAAGCCGTTGGTCCCAACTGCATTTGCAGTCGTTAATACCCTCCAATCCGCATTGTCCAACGTGGAGGGCCATGGCCCATCCTTGTTAACCATCCGTAAGGAAGGCCTGAGTCCCTGCACTGGGGACGTTAAAGGGCTGATGATGATGATTATTATTAGTGCCAGTCAATTCATCGCTTAACTGACCCCCTACATCTATATCTGAGAAACCTAGTGCATTGTATTTTACAACTAATTACATTTAAACGAGACCGATTATAGATTTTACAAATGTGTTGAGTCATTACCGAAATAGGAGTGTATTTAAAAAAATTTTTTTTTATGAAATATATCTAAAATATATCATTCATATAATAAGTTAAAAACGTAAAAAAAAAATTACCGCAAAAACGCCACTTCTATCTTGTCGTCGCTGTGACGTCGCGGCACTGAAACTAATATCGTTCTACTTATTCATAAGGTTGAATTCTCTAAGTTCTAAGCCTTCCAACAAAAAAAATAGAATTATGAATCTAAGGGGTAACTTTATGATCTTACTCTATCATATATGTATAAATTCACGTTTTGGCTATGACTACACCCTTAGAAAAGTGATATAGGTAATAAATCCTTTTTACAACTTATTTGGACGTTATTTTATGTACAATACTAGTTAAAAAATATTGGGTGTACGCGCTGCTTGAGTTTCTAACTATAGGAGTAGACCACTGTGGTCATTAACTGTGGCCTTGTTACATCGTAACCCACATTTTAGGCAACAATACAGCTCGGCATTGTCTTATGCTCGCGGGACTAATATCATAAAACACGAAATCACGAAAACGTTCAGCTGTGACGTATTCCTGTGTTGCACCACCGAAGGAATTTACTTTGAATATAGGTATACTCAACTTAGCCTTTGGCGAAGTTGAGTAACATTAGTGATAATAGTTTTTGTTAAATATAACATAGATTTTGTATGGATCAACACCAAGATTTAATTACCTACTATCGAGCGAATAAATTGAAAAGCAGTTGTAATAGTTAAGTACATACAGTAAGATGTTAAATAAGTTCACTATAAATTGTACTATACTTATGTAAATGGAAAAATGTTTGTTTATATCTGCATGGTAGCTCTGAAGATAGGTGTACAAACGAAGAAACAAACAATCTCATCGGCTATATTTATTATATTTTTATACATAAATAATGAATGAAAATTCCTTTCATATAAATAAAGGTTTGTATTGCGGAAAAAAAAAACGATTTAAGAATATTTCTTATTATTAGTACATGTTTTGAGATTCTGATTTGATGTGAAATCTTTGAGAATGAGACCACATCCGGATGAAAAGCTGCCAAACAAAAAAAAGTGTTTTAATTAGTCTACTTAAAAATAACGTAGGTAACCCTAATATTTACGCAACTTAAAAAAGATAATTAATATCACAATCAAAAGACCACCTTTCCCAAAATCGATTTAAAATTGAGATAGTCAAAGATGTTTTAGCACTATCGAAATATCTTTATAAATTTTGCACAACGCTCGTCACGATCAAATCCGTACTGTCCGATTTCGTCTGTGTCCAATGAAGCGTGTCAACCTTGAATTGATCCAATTAAATATTTGTTAAATAATATAAAAAAAAACTTAACAAGTGTACACCTGCATGTTTAATTATTCGAAATACCTACTAAAATTATGTCATGGTTTGTTGGCTGCTATTTTACATGGTTATGAGGTAAAGAAAAAACATCATTTGGTAGAGTAAAGAAACTTTCACTTTCAAAAATGATTATCTCTTATATTTCCTTGTGTTGTTATTACATAATAGGTATTTCTTTATGTATGACTTTGTACTCCATAGAGAGTGGCTTTAGCTGCACACATTCATCGAGGTATCATTAGCTACAGAGGTTTCGTGTAGAAACTTATTTTTTTTTATCAAGAGCATAAATAGTAATTTTCATATCTCGTGATTTACGAAAATAGAGGGTTTTTAATATTTATTATCGAAAAATCTAGTTTGTGCTCTACACTGTGGTGAAATCTTCATATCTTTATAAAGTCGTCATAGTTGGTATAATAAGAGTACCTTTCGCATATAAGCATGACATTTTACTGGTTAAAAAATTACAACAAAGTTTAAAAGATGCGTAGAGTACAAATAACACGGATTTTCAAAAACCTTACCATTTGGTAGCAATTTTCCGGTGCCACGTCTGCTTTCCAAGATATGATCCCCTGAGCATCTACTTATTTTAATAATGAGCTAATCATGCATTGACCTAAATATTATGAATCCATGTACATTTTGTATAAAATCTATAACTATATAGTAATAATGAAACGGAAGAGTTCGTTGGTTTGTTTTGTTGAACCCTATAATCTCAGGAACTACTGGAACGAATTGGATGATTGTTTTTGTGTTGAATAAACCATTCATCGAGGAAGGCTATAGGATACAACATCAAGCTGTAGCTTAAAGGAGTGGAGCAGCAATGAAAAATGTTACAAAAACGGGAGAATCTTACTTTTTAAAGCTCTCCGCATCTCTCAGCATGCGTGCGTTGAAATGAAAATGGGAGCGGACGTTCGTATAGGACATTAAATCGTTACCATAATATCCATTGCTTAAATTAAATTTATCGTTTTAATTATGTTCCATGTCATCCTTTTCCAAATACATTGTTAAATGATTTAAGCTGTTGACGCGGGTTTAATAATAATAATTTATTACAAGCATTGACACTCATATTCACAATCAAATTAGTTAATGCAAATAAATAAAAATTGAAAATTTTAAATATGCAATAAATTAAACAATATATAATCATAATCATAGTAAAAAACAAAAAATCATTACAATTACCACAAATACATTAAATCATTCGACGTATAGTTGAAGGTATCACAACAAATAATTAAATCAAATTAAAAATTAAAACAAAGTAAATTAATAATACGATTTAGCTATTTTCGCTAGATGACGCTACTGTCATTTTTAAACGGGATTTAGTTTTTTTAATTTGTGTTGTATTTAATGTTTGACCGATTTTTACGAAACAAAGTCGCTTTTATTTAAGAACTTTATAATTTCGTCATGTCCGTCTGTCTGTCCATCGGTCGGAGCTAAAAATCATAAAATACTTGAAATTAGTAGCTCTAATGATAGGAATAAGTTTTAGATAAAATAAAATTCAAAGTATCAGAGTTAAATAATAAATTGGGGAAAAAATACTGCGCTGACTAAACTATATACGTCCGATACCTACAAATCTGCCATCTCTTCAAGATTATCAGTTAATAAAATTTAATTTGGCGTCACGCACATAAATCTGTGAAAATGCTGAATTGAGAAAGCAAAAACAAGCTGTCAAGTTGCTATGAGGATCGGTCGTAGAATCTTGCACAAGCTAAGTTTTAAGCCTTTAAAATGAAGGTCCAGAATAAGCACAGAAGTCAACTAGACATTTGATTTCTGTGCTTATTCTGGACCTTCATTTAAGCAAAATGACGGCGTTATTATAAAAGGACTACAATAAAATGATTATTTATTCAAAGAAAATATTTGTTTGTATTTTTTGAAAGGCGTGTCGATTCTACTGCGTACTAAAATTTAAAGAAGGACTATTCTATGAGGAGATGCGCGTTGTAAACAGAAACAGCGCTTGCTTTTCCATACTTAGTTCCATGAATTGGGCAGGTCTGTGCCCCAGCAGTGGGGACGTTGATGATATGATAGCAGACCACGTGGGCGCGGGTTACAGCTAGTATTCTATATGAAGTCAATTATTACGATCGCAGGTGTTTCTGAAGCCGGAGGAAAAGTTTGAGCATTTGCAGACGTACATATTGGAGCAAACCAGTGTCGTTGCAGAATCGCAGATCCTACTCTTCAGGGACCGGTTGTTGCTTACTGAGATTGACGAGAATACGCTCGGTAAGTTCATACACCAGTTATGCATACACAGCTGTCTTCCTAACTAATTTTGACGACAATGTTTTACTGAAAGGCACATTTGTTTAATTTATAAAAACTAAAGGATTGTTCAGATGTATACCAAATGTTTTTCGACCGCTGACTGTTTACGCGAACAATGTCTAAAATTATAGGTATAATAGTTCAGTAGTTCTTACTATTTCGATAAAACGAAATTATTTTTCGGTAACTTATTTCGATGATGACCAACAAACATCAAATGATCACCATCCTGGCCAGGTGATTAATCTCATTAGAAGGTACTGAAACTATGCTGAAAATCGGCAAGTTTTTCAATATAGTTACATGCTGTATACCCTACCGCAAATCTCTGTACACGCCGCTGGCCGTGATAGAAGTGGACTTTCCGCGGGAAGTTTTATTTTTCACTGAAACATACACTTTCTAAGTGAACATTTGGACTTAGGCTACGTATACGGCCAACTGAAGTAAGAAAAGCACCCGCGCGAAATCTTTAGAATCCTTCTATTATCACACGGAATCAGTTACTGTAATTTATTTTTCTCAATCCAATTAAAAATTAGAGGGTCACACAGCGCTGAAAACCTATTACAACTCGGGTTTCTATTTCTAAGTACTTTTAATTTTTCTCAATCCAATTAAAAATTAGAGGGTCACACAGCGCTGAAAACCTATTACAACTCGGGTTTCTTTTTCTAAGTACATATTTTAAAACTATCCAATGTGGCCCCTCGTCCAACACTCGTCGAATAGACAGTAACAGAACGGTGACATCGCAGGTAAGGAGTACCCGGAGACGACGGCGGAGAAACCCCTGATGCTATTCAACAAGAATAATCACAACGTGAGCCTGCCGCCGGAGCCCGACGCGCCCAAGTTCCCCGTGTTCTCCAACATAGTGTCCGTCGAGAACGACGCGACACAGGCGAAGGTAATGGAATCAAATCAAAATCATTTATTCAGTCTAGGCTGTCATAAGCACCTGTGGAAGTTGAATATATGTTAGCGGTTCGTAATTCTACGGTGGGAGACCTGGTACCATGAAGAACCGGTATGAAGTCGGCAAAGGCTGCTTTTTTCTCTTTGTTTTTATTTCATACAGAGTTGTCAAGATTGAAAAATGACTGTATTAAAATATGAAATAACTTTCTATTACAATATTAGAAAATATTAAAAAGTAAAACAGTATGTTCTATATTCATCAATTGAATGCTAAATCAAACAAGCTTACCGATAAATAATATAATATACTTAGTTTAATAAAATGAAATAGACAAGTATAAGTAGTCTAGAGCAGGCTCATTTCATCCACAAGCATGTTGTATGAGTCAACCGTCGCTTCGCTCAATTATATTTTAGGGAACGTAACGACACCACCGCAAAGACTTTAAAGAGAGCATCACATACTGTAGGTACCCGCTTTTTTTAACAAAGATAGTAAAGCTTTTCATAGATTTATCAGTGCCTGCAGGACTCTGTATGATGTAGTACGATTATATTAATATCTATGGCATCGTAGTTTGTGATATTATGCTGTGTCATTACAGTACAAGCGAGGAAAATAATTAAATAAAATTTATTTATTATTAATAGTTTAGCGTTTTACGGCGGTACGATACGCGGGGGGTCGCTGATTTTTTCGTTATTGAAATTAAATATACTGTAATTGTATTTCAAAGGAGGTAAATAAAGAGCGCGGTCCCATAAACGTGAGGACCGTTTATTTAACATAAAAAAGTATTATATTTCTTTTTCGGTTACGAAAAATAGCACGTTACACGTGCGGGATCGGCTCTACGGTAATAAACATCGAGCGAAAAGAGAATATTTTAACATCCTCCACTAGCGCCCAAGATAACAGAGTGTCTGGTTTGAGTTCCACTAACTTATACGAAAGACTTCGCTACCGCGTCAATAAGAGTAAACGTCATACGGATCCAACGGTGTAAACATGCGAGTTTGAGTTACAATTACGTTAACTATTCGATTTGCGTCAGCTAGCTGGATAAATGCGTAAAATAATCATCCCGTTCGAATTTCATTATAATTCACGACACCATATCGAACATTAATAACTTATCAAAGTTGTGAATTAAATTCTCACTTCGTAAATTCAAGTTGGAAGTATTAACTTGCAAGCATGAATCGGTGTTCGCTTTCACCGGTGAACGCGTTTGAAACTCAAACTGAGCACTCCGGAGCGGGGGCGTGAGTGGAGTGTGAGCGTGTGTGTGTGTGTGTGCAGACGGCGTGCAGCGTGGGGCACGCCATAAGGCGGCGCGTGGAGGCGCTGTGCCGTGCGTCGCTGCTGTGCGCGCTGTGCGTGCGCTACTGGGGCGGCGCCGTGCAGGCGCGCCTGCGGGCGGCCGCGGGCCGGGCGCGCGCCGCCGCCGCGCACGCCGACCGCCTGCACGACGCCGCGCGCGCCCTCGACCTGCTGCCGCCCGCCGCCCCCGCCCCCACACCCGCGTCCACCCCCGCGCCCGCCCACGCGCCCGCCGCCGCCGCGCTCGCCGCCGAGGTGCGTACTTCCTATGTTGCCGATATTGTTACTCGAGCCTAGAAACGTCTTCTTCCAAGTGCGCCAGCGCTTTTGTCTCCGAAAAAGGATTTCTCAGCGGAGAGATGATAGAGCGGACGATTCTTTGGACATTTTGTGTTTCTTAAGAAGTTACTTTCAATATTATTCATAATACTACGAGTAGAATTGACATATCGTTAAACGTTGACGTTTAAACGATAGGATCAGTTTTAGGCCGTTTATAATATGAATCTTTACCGTGTATAAATAATGAACCTTTTGAAGCGATTAAATAAACCTAACGCCGATATATAATATGAATAATTAATACCACGATAGATGGATTTTCTAATAAATTGAGGTGATGCGTAGGCATTTACACTTGGGTCATTATAAAAAGCCACATTTGACATCTATCAATCTGAACTTGATAGTGAAATTTACAGAGTCACGCCATATGATTTTTTTATATTTTTAATCACTCAATTTGACTCGACTTTGACGAATCATTTTCTCAATCGACAATAAATACGAATCTATATTTTCTCCACTTCATAGTGAGGGCTTACAAATCCTGTTGTAGGTTAGGATCGCTCGCCATGACGTCATTTAAGATGGTACCGGTTAACCGTTTTTTCTCTCTATTTATATTACTCCTATTAGAGCTGGTGGGGTTCTTGCTCATTATTTTATCAGCCAAAAGACGTCCTGAACGAGTGGTAGGGAAAAAAATGTTGAACGATTCAAAAGTACTTTTAAGAAGTCTATTTGAATAAAAATTATTTTCACTTTGACTTTGACATTTTGTTTGACACGTTAAAAACGACGTAAAAATTTATAGTAGAGGATTAGGTACATTCTATGCTATGATGTGTGAAGTAGCAGTCCGAAGGGGTGTTTGCGGTATTATGTGACCCAACGATAAATATTGTTGCATAAATGATTTGTAATGTTTATACAAGATTTCATTTTTTGAAAATTTTCTTTCCAAAGATCAAAATTGCGCTACAGCTTTGGATTTCGAATCGTCCAAATGTTTTCTAAAATTTGATTTGAATAGAATCCTAATTTCGTAATTACCGTCTTCTCTTCTAGTAGTTGTTTTTGGATAGTAATCGATACATTGCTGATCTTCCATAGACAAATCGTTCTTCCTGGTGATGAAGATATCACCAGGAAGAACGATTTGTCTAACGATATTTACTAAAATTTTTGAATATCTTCCAAATCGTTCAGTAAAACATTGCAATGTAACGTTCTAACATTACCACTTAATATCCAGCCTAGATGGGTATTTTGAGCTACGAATGAATTTTGATCAGCTCTGTAGAACCCTCGCGTAAAATCAAAGAATACATATATGTACTTAATAATAAGTCTACGGGATCACTTTGATTAAAATTTGGATCAGCTAAAGTAATATTTTAAAAGTGGCCAGTAGATTTCATTTCATTACGAGGGGGTCAGTTTAAAATTCAAAGTCATTATTTACGTATAGTACTTTTGATACTTCTTTCTTTTACACCAACGCCGGTGATAATACCATGACACGTTTGACGCGGTAGCCCTGAACGTTGCGCTGCATTTTCAGTGATTAGCGATGTTTGAGAAATAAAGCTCATATATTCATAAAAGTTTCATCCGAATTTGTAATTTCGATAATTGCAATTGTTAAAAGTATTTCTCTAATGTCAAGTTGTAATGATACGTGAGTGTCGCTGAGCATCGGCTGAGTCGGTTCATATTTCAACGTGTTGCAGTCTCGAGGTCGGTGCCCCGAGTGATCGTTGGGATCGCGTAAACGAATCATGCAGTAGGGTGTTACGCGGCTGAGTACATTCGCGACAACGTTTGTCTGAAATACATGGGCTCACGGAAGTGACAATAAAGCCAGTTTTGGCATATGTCGTGTTTAAAAATAATTTTTCGGCTAATTATCGGCGACCTTTCTAGAAACATAGGTGTACGAAATTGTTTGCCGGAAAAGTACGAGTACAAGTTCCGTTCGTATGATGGTGAGGCAGGCGCGCGCGCTGCACTCGGCGGCGGCGGCGCTGGAGGCGCGGCACCTGGGCGCGGGCGGGCTGCGCGGGGAGTGGGCGGCGGCCGAGGGCGGGGGGGCGGCGCCCTGTCCCGCGGCGGAGCGCCTGGCGGCCCGCGCGCGCACGCTGGTGGAGCGCCTGCGGGACTCGTGGCAGCACCTGGTGCGGGACCGCGCCACGCGCTCGCTCACGTACAACGACGAGCAGTTCCACGTGCTGGAGCGCATCACCGTGGCCGAGACGGGCCGCCGCCTGCGCGCGCTGCTGCAGCGGGCCGCGCCGCAGGCCCGCGCGCGCGCCGACGCGCTCGCCGACTGGTCAGTGCCGCGGTGCCGTTACGTTACCTATATATCGTTGCCACCGCGCCGCCTCGAGCCGATCTCCGACATTTTTACGGGTTTTACGTTTAGTTTTTATTTTTAATCCGCCCGCAGAGGAAGTTTTGTTTTTCGAGTGTATCTTTTATGTATGTAAAGAAATATTGATATTTCTATGAGTTGCATAGCTTAGAGAATGGTTTTTCCATCTTTCTTTGACGAGGTGATTCTGTAAAAATCCAGACCCGAATTCGAATTTACTAACGTATCCGAATTCACGCCATTTAGTATAGAAATCATATTGATTCCATTTTTTGTATAAAAATACTAAACAAAATTGATCGATTAAACGTGTCTCAGAAATTTTAATCTTATATCATTTCACTTATGCCACGAAACGTTATTACCGATTCGAGTTTGAGCGGATGCCGCTTTTTGAAGTGAATTCGGACACCCGAGTAGATTCGAATTCGGGTTTGAAGTTTTACAGAATCGCAGGGCTGATCCCGCCTTCTCAGCACGCATAATCTTCTCGGATGTTATTAGACTCGAATCGTTATTTACCGAACTACGTCGCCGGCGTCGGATCGTATCGGGCGAGGCGCGTATTATCGTTACGAGGCACGCGGGCGGGGCGTGTTTAATATGGAAGGTGGTGCGGGGGCAGGTACAAGGTGGCGGCGACGGTGTACCTGCAGACGCAGATCCTGGACAAGGACGTGTCGGCCGCCGAGCTGAAGCTGCTGGCGCTGGCCGCGCGGCTGCAGGACGCCGAGCACGCCGCCCGCGCGCGCGCCGCCGCCCGCCCGCCGCATCCGCCGCAAACGCCGCATACGCCGGTAACATGTTTTGAGTTTTATTTCACGTTTACGTTTCACACTCAGATATTTTAACGTGGGTCGGGAACGCGCTCCCCGATGAAAGTGTAGATCGACTCGTGTTCGAATGCATTTTGCGCATATCGCGAGCGTGCAATGTGCGTGCAATGTCCGCCGCGAGCGTGTACGTGTGAATTAGACAAATGTTGCGTTTTGACTGACTTTATTATACTAAACACATTATTTATAATAGCGAGGAGATGTACACACTACGAGCGTGAGTCTTTCTACGACTTCGATGAATTTAACGCAAACGCGAGTGAAAAGTTCTCACTCGAATTTTGAAATGAGAACTAAATTTACATCATCGATTCGCTCGGGACGTACGATACGGCGTTATGAATTATAATCAAATTAAGATCAGATAATTATTTTTGCATCGTATGTTTGCGGCTGCCAATTGACGAAATGACCGCGACTAGAATGCTAAAATTATAAAAGGGCCTGGGTACTCGGTATTCTTATAAAACCAGAGTTCTGGTTATACGATTGCAATGACAAATAACTACCTCGAAGTGATGAAAGAAATTACAGATGAAAACTTACATATACAGGATGTTTGGAAATACATGTATAATCCCGAAACATGGCCATACAACTAAGCACAAAGAACATAATTAATATGTCAAAAAACAATTTCACGTAAATTGATATTTTCATACAAATATTTGAACAATTTGTTTTCAATTAATATTCTACAACCCTGAAAACTTACACGTGCCGTCCCGGCGTACTCACTCTCTCTCTCTCTCTCTCTCTCTCACACACATTACGTCCCACTCTCTCTCGTTTCCTAGAATACACTTTGATTTCGCCAACGCGCGCACTTGACTGCGAATGAGTTTACTTGTAATTAAAACAATTTAAGATTAAACAGGTATGTACGATTAGTACAATTACTAATTTATATTTACTGCTGACGTGCAACCTACTTTGGTGTGCGATCAATATCTCTCTAAGTATATAATATGTATCGACATTAAAGTTAGTTGTAATTTATACTTGATCAACTCATGTATCTACTAACTAAACTTATCTACTAATTAAATAAACTTAACTATTTACACAGTGCAGTGTTTAACTTGAACTATTATTCAACTTTATCCAAACGACTATCAACTACACTCTTCAAGACCCCAACAAGGTACGTACCTACAGGCAGCGTTCTAATCACTCTCAGCTCTCACTTGTCAACATTACCTACACTTCACCTCCACTTTATCAGTCCAAGGTCTCGATATGCCGGCCACCGCATAAAACACACATCTCCATTCGATTCGACACAGACCGTGTTACTCTCGACGTAAAATCATATCCTCTCTCGACGGAATAGGTGTTCGGCCGGCCTACCTGTATCACACTATGCAATGAAATGCTGCGAATCACCGGTAAGAAGGAAGACGTCGATGGTTTTCAGATCTTCCTGACACGTGGCGCTCGTCATAACGCCGCCGAGCCGCAGCAAGATTACCGTCACAAACACCGCCACACATTATCATCTCGTAATATTAGGCATTTGAGTACGAACTCATTGCACTGACCGCACACAAACACAACACACAGGTAAACAGAACGAGTATGAAAAACAAACCAAAAGTCCCGAAAGAACGAAAACGTAAGTTGACCTTCTAAATTCTGAAAACTCACAAGTACGCCGATGAAAGTCACGGACGCGACTGACGCGATGACCAAAACTACATAGGTTATTATTATTGCAACTCGAACACCAATGTACCTAAATCAAAAGTGAACCGATTTAGGGTTCCGCGTCATCAAATTCTGTGTTAGGTAACCTACCTAACAAAAAATCGTTATTTTATTATTTAATTAAACAATGAAATTTCAATGAAACTTATTATACTATTTTTTTTACTGACGAAATTGGTAATTAGGCTGTTTACTTATTTATTACAATTTTATTTACGCTTTTCACGGTTACAAAAGAAAAAAAAAGGCCATAATATTAAAAGTGGTTACCTAATTTAAGACCAAGTCATCAACAAAATTATAAGGCATAAAATTATTGATTAAATTAGAAAAGAAAAGAAATATATTTTTTTATTAGTCCTTTCTATTACAACTAACTGTACGAGTCAATGTACATTGTATGTAGGTAAAAATAATAGTCTGATCAGCATTTCAAGTTCAACGCTCTGTAACCTAAATTTACGTATTAATTATTGTCATTTATAATTTTATTACATTAAACCAGTGTACAAACAGCACTCATTGGGTTTGGTGATTTATTACGTTTCCCTCTCCCTACATATCCGTATAAACTGTAGGTATCCCCTACACTAACCTTTATTTAATTATCATTTAAACTAAGAATAAGCGAGATACTTAGATTATGAATATCATTGTATAAGTTCCTATTTTATTGTTTCGTGAAAATAACACTGCTTTACGAAAAAAAAAATAACAAAACTTCAAAGCAATTTATTTACAAAACCCTACTGACACATCAGTAATCCGAGTTTCTCAATACACATTGTCGTCGACTTTATGTCTCCTTCTTGCATAGACTAATGTGAGCAATAGTGCAGATATCTAACTTCAATCAAAGTATTTGCAATTTCTTTTTTATTCTGACTGTATTATTAGAGAAGTTTTCTTAATAATAGTTTTTGAAACACCGGTAATCACAAGATTAGTGTACTTTTATGGTTAAAAGTCATTTACTACTAACTTTTTCTTTGTTTTGAAATAATAAATTACTCTCTGATGCATATTTATTCTAGGCATTTATCTTTAGATTTATTTAACTTCTGTTATTTTTTAAACTAGTTCGACACATGGAGTCGATGACCAATACAACGCAACAGCTGTTTTTAGGATTGTCAGCGTACAGTTTTACTTCGAAGAAAAAGCTAAATATCTAGGTCATGTGCTGGGTTTCAGGCTTAGTGATCATTTTTCTGAGTTCTATTCATCATACCGTATGTGCCATATTCGGAATTATACAGGTACTAGTGGACGCCCGCGACTTCGTCCGCGTGGAAGTCGGTATCCCGTGGGAGTGAGAAGTTTTCCCAGTAAAAAGTACCCTATGTGTTATTCTGATGTATAACCTATATTGCTGTAAAGTTTTATCCAAATCCGTCCAGTAGTTTTTTCGTGAAAGAGTAACAAACATCCATACATCCATACTTACAAACTTTCGCCTTTATAATATTAATAGGATTACTAAACACGCTGTATATATACGTCACGCGCTGTATGCGGTCACGTGACAACAAGTAGAAAATATTTGTTTGTAATGATCGTAAAGTGACTGTAGGTAACGATCGGCAGGGTGGCGACGCGGAGGAGGCGCCTGCCCGGCGGCGCGCGGGCGCGGCGGCGGGGCCGGGGGCGGGCGCGGGCGTGGGGTGCGCGGGGGCGGGCGTGCGCGCGCTGCTGGCGGCGCAGGCGGAGGTGGCGCACGCGGCGCGCAGCAACGCCGCGCTGGCCGCCGCCCTGCGCGCGCTCTCCGACGACCTGCTGCCCTAGCGCCCCCCGCCCCCGCCCCCGCCCCCGCCCCCTACCGCCTCGGCCGAGTCGGCAGCGGCGCGCTCCACCTGCGCTCTCGTGTAGACTCCCCCTCCACGTCGGTTTCGATTCCGTCGAGATACTCGGGATAATCGATATCGTCCCGTTCCGGGGCCGGGGTCGACTGTCAAGAGACGAAGGAAGGGTGGGGGGGGGGTTCGTTCCCGTGGGAAATTATCCACGATCTCCAGCCCTTCCCGTGCAAGGAATAGAAATAGATGTGACTCGTCGGGGACTTAAGGATTCGCTCGAAAATTTAGGATCGATCCGAGCCCGCCGATTAGGAACAGGAAGTATACCCGGTGCATTATATTTTACACCACGCAGGTTCGCCGCCGCCCGAACCTGCGTGACCCCTATTGTACATCCGAACCTTCCTCTCGAATCCCTCTGTACATCGATGAAAACTGCATTTAAATCCGTTGTGTAACTTAAACGTCGGAATCGGTAGCTCTACTCTGCCATCTGATTGTTACTTAGAATGTATGGAATGAAACCTTAAGAATGGTGTTCTTTTTTTTTATAACATGAGGCCAGGACTTTTTAAAACCGTCTATAATATATGTCTTTCTAATTAGTGCGAAATTCTCATTGGAGTCCTTACCCGTTATCACATATAATATGAAAAAAAAAGATAGTATACATATTATGAAAAAAACGATAATTCCAAATGAAGTGACGATTACATTTATTTTAGATTTTCATTAAGAATTAGATTGTATTTTTGACATCGGATTCAGAGTCAGAGACGAAATTATAAAATATTCCCAGTAAAGTAAAATATCATAATATAATTTTCATATTCAACTCACTCTGTAAATAATAACGACGCGTGTAAATTTACAATAAGAGTAAATGATTAAAAACACGTTTCATTTATGTTATTAATCTTAGCATATATTTTGAAATATACAATTCAGAATTTATTCTGTAAAGATCTCGAGTGTGTTCGTTGACATTCCTTAATTTTGTATACAAATCGTATAAATGTTATGAAATAGAGCTACTACTCGTTCGAATTAACATGCCACCTGGCTCGCAACTTGAAACACCGCGCTGTCGCCTCAGTAGCGGCAGCATAACTATTAGCGTTATATTATTATTGATATGTTAGTATTAATAAATAAAAACTCTCTTCCTCTGGTTGATATTGGGTTTTTATTAAGTAAATACGCCATGAAACTGATATATCTGAAACAGAGAAAAAATGATAGTAATGATTGAATGTAACTCGTAATAATTTATTTTTTCTTTCTTTCTGTCGAAACAGAACTTTAAATTATTTCAAACATTAACTTTAGTAGATACATTACTTAACTAAATTTAGAATATTATTATGCAAAGGTAAAGTTTCTTACTTTGTATGTTTATTTGTAGGGGATCGGTTATCTTCACAAACACTTATATGATCATGGAAATTCTTCCACCTACGGGATCCTACATCATATGCGTATGATATAAGCTAAAATTTAGTCGAGCGGAAAATTAGCTAGTATTTTTAAATCTCTGGAAACTTAAATGCAGGCCGAAATAATAATTTTGAAAGTAAAAATCAGTACCTATATATTTGAAAAACAATCGTTATTATCAGTACTTTTCCAATAAAGAAGAAGGAGATAAGATTTACCAACGCATCTAAGTTTTTTTATGAAAGAACTATTAGCTT